TCGCCTGGGGAAGAAAAGCCCAGACTAAAAAGAACAGAAGCATCCCCAGTGGAAGTGGTGAATCGAATGTAGCTTGACCTTGCAAAAATTCTCTGTTTTTCGTTGCCGTCCCTTTGTCATGCTTAGCAACAAGTGCGCTCACACAAATGTACCTGAACAGCTCCATGAAATAGATTGAGCCGGAAATAATTGGCCCCATTGGAGACGCCAAGTGACGGAAAGCAGCTGGGGGAAAGAAAAAAAAAACAGCATGTGATAGAAAAGCTGCAGGACAGCCTGACACGGTCGGGCATGTCGGCGTAGGTTCTGTCATGTGACTTCAGCTGGAAACGAACCCTCACACAGAACGTACGAGGCGCTTTTCATGAACGGTGGCGTGCAAAGATGGCCGGACGTGTCACCACAGCGGGAAAATGGGGCTCTGCCACTCGATAGTATCGACCTCCTCTGTATCAGCGCACCGGCAATTAGCCCGCCTGTTTTTTGGGGCGCTTTGGTTTGTTCCTTCTTCTCCGGGGGATGAATGTGTATAATCCCAGCACAAAAGGAGGGTTAACCGCAGAATCTGGGCTTTTGCATTTACGCCACAACAAGAATCCCCCACAATGCACAACCTGGGGGAATATTTAAATCCATACGTGCGGCGGGATGAACACAAATGTATCTGCACACATTCTTTTCGTCTATTCAGAGATTATGTTGTTCGACAAAAATCGCTCCAAGAGGTGCTGAGACTTTAGCTGTGAGAATCCAAGCAGTTTGCCCACATGAGAGATTACCGTGATAAATTGTGACAGGTCCACCTTTTCTCCTTTCTTCATCCCCACATTTGTCTTTCTTTATTTCATCCGTCCCTCCCTTTTTCTATGGTGCACCTCTCTGATCCTTTATTGGCATCACAGATGACAATTCCGTCTTGCAGAAACAAAAAATGACTTGGATTGCATTTTTCTGCCCATCCCATTGTTTCTCTCTCTTTTGATTCAATTGAGATTTAATTTTTCAATTTGAAGTCATTTGATTTATTTGAATGGGAGTTTTACAGCATTACCAAAACATCTGAACAAATTAACTTAACGATAATCTTGTTTTCCCCCCCGGCGTGCTTTATCTCTGTTATGCTGTTTCTTCTCATAGTGTTTTTCTTCTCGGATGTCCATTCCTGCAATGTTTTTGGAGTTTATTAGAGGTAGAATGATGTCTGCCTCGAGCCCCAACGTTCCAGGATTCAAATGTCAGTCTCAATAACTACAGCTTGGATGTGGGAAGGAGGAGGTGCTTTGGTGGTTTTGATGATGGGCAGTTAAGGAAGGGATGCTCAGCCTCATTGAGCAGTGACGCCTCTCAAAGCAACAGCCAGGGCTGAGAGTTTTTCTTCTTCGCTCCAGTATTGTTCCACAGAAAAAAATAACAACTAAATCCTATCATTACCCTATCTCTCTCGGTTCTTAATTTGGTTTGTCTGTGAGTCATCGCTTTATGTGTCGCTCCTTCGCCTCTTGTTGCAAACAATCTCACTAAAGAAATGACTTAACCGCTTTATGACAACTCCACGAATACCGCACGAAGACGGTGGAGTAAGAAGAATTTCCTTTGATTGTGACATCATCCCTGAAACTGAAAATGGAAATCAGAATTTTAGTGAATACAGCCAGGATGTGTGTTTTCCCACGTCTGGGTTAGACCTTTAAGTTGTTGGCGTATGAGCGTGTGTGTTTTCTATGACTTGCTTGTCTGTCATAAATGCGTAGACGCCGATTCTCAAGAGCACATATGAGCAAAAAGATCACACATGCTGCGAGTCCTGTCTTGGAAAGCTCGTCGGGGAGAGGGCAGCGCTCTGCTGTGTGCGGTGACTCCATCCCCCATCACATATCCCCCCCGTTGCCTTATTCACGGGCTCTTATTGCACACACAAATGGCCCAGTGGCTCTGTGGGCGAGCGCAGCGGAGCCGGGGCCGGCTGCCTCCTGCAGACCTGCTTTAGAGCTGAGATATGATAGGAGCGAGTGGCAGGGAGCCAACATTGCCGTGATGAGGAGGTGGGCCATGTTGTCGAGAGACGGTACAACCAGAGCTCCAATAGAAAGCCTTCTGGGGAGAGATGTATAGCTTTCTCACCTCAGTGTTCAAAAACAGGTCAAACAACTGAGCACTTTGATTATTCTTTATTCTTTAATTCCCAAACTGTGGATTTGGTAGTTTATTTAAGCTTAGGAAGTCTGTAAGTCTGTAATATATTGTAGATGTATTGGACTACAGCACTGGTAAGAGTTATTGTTTTGACATACTTTATTCAGGAGGGGATTCGGGCTACCTCCAAGGTGTTGTTGTTGCTACCTGGGAGCTTAGAGTTGGCTGCATTAATTCCCTCCCTGGAGTTATGTTCCACATATAAGCTTACTGTGCCTCATTCCAGGGTGGCAATAACAGTGAGGGGCGAGGGAAACAAAACTGCTGCTCTTCCCAGGATTCGGGGGATACTGCCTGGATCAGGAAAGGCTTGACCCAGCCAGAAGCTTCCAGCGTCCCCATGGAAAGGGAAGGGGAGGACACAGCTGATCACCCAAAAAAACAAACGCATCACTGCAGCAACAGGCAGACAAGTCAGAGGCACTTTAGCACATAAACAGAAAGAACGACTACCAACAAAGGCCCGGGGGCCTGTGAAAAAGGGAAAAAAGAGAAAAGGCAAAGGGAGACACAAAAAAGCAAGAAGAAGCTCGAGTGATAACAAATATGCATTCTCACTGAAATTCCGATTGCCGATGTTTTCGACCCTGAATTCTGTCACTTCTGCGTTTTCGTGCAACCCGAATGATCATCAGCCCACCATTTATCGCAGGAGCAATAAATCATTGTTCAGCGTGTCTCTGTTGATTTGCAAATTCAACTAAATAAACAACGATAGATAAACAGAATGTGGCTTAATCGTGTCCGAATTGATTTCCTTTTTCTACAACCACAGGAAGCCTTCCTGGGTTTCCCCGAATGGTGGAAAGAAACCGTGCACTAATTGTATGCAAATGGTCAGCATGTAGCATAGAAATTGTAGTCAAGTTAATTGTAACAGCATGTTAATGAGAGCTAGATGACCCTCACTCCCCCTGACCCCACGTAGCAACAACACTTGCTTTAAGAAAGGGCAGGGGTCGACTTATTAACGGCAATTTTCTATCGCGAGGTGAAAGGAGACGACTGGTGAGATTAAAGAGCATGACATTTGTGTTAAAACCTGAGCTCTTGATTATAGCTTCGAGGTTTATCTCTCCTCCCTGCTCTGATGACTGAGGGGGATGGTGGAGTTGTTATCTTTTGGAGGAAATAGGAGCTTGACAAAGAGAGGGGGATAATGTTAATGTCAGCGCTGTGGTCAGTTTAGATTCGATGAGAAGTGGTTGGCCAGATTGTGTCCCTCCCAGGTTACCCCTGTGAACTCAGCTGAACCAACAGCATGGTCCTTACCTCTTAATCTTGGCACAAATGCACACGTTACCATATGCCTGTGGGTCTTGGCACTGGCTCTAACAGCTAGCTGCCAACATATATCTCAAGGGTGAGGAAATAAATAGTTGAAAAGCTCTATTTTAACACATGAAAAGTAGACCTTTTTGACCTGGGTGGTCTGGGCATCACTTGGCCTCGGTATACCACATGATGTTAGATCACTTACCAGATGATACGTATCCAAGATATTTTCATCCACATGAAATTTCCAAATTGTTTTTTGTTTTTTTTACCAGCTCTGAATAATTACAGATAATCCGATTTTATCGATTGCTTGCTAAAATCAAGGGAACAGAGATGGAGGTCATAAAACAAGGGTAAAGCCAGGGAGGGATGATCGAGTCATTTCCTCAGGCCGGCGTCAAATAGTGCTCATTAATTGTGATGAGTTGCCAGGCGTCATCTGCTTCTCGCTGTCAAAAGGAAGATGGATTGTCCTGAGGTGTTTCATTGTTCTTATTGTGTAGTTAGAGTTAGACTTTGGATCCATCTGATCCACCCGAATAAGCTGACAGAAGAGAAGCCCTTCAGTCCTCTCCCCCCTCTAGCTTTCTTTGATAAAAAAAAAAAACAACATACATATGAATACGCAAATAAAAAAAGACATTAAATTAGTTACACATGAGGTCAAATAATACGATTAGGTGTCTTTTAATTTCCTAAAATGTAACTTGATTTGTATAAGGAAATACCACTTGTCACCGTGAGTAAGAACAAGGTTTTTTTCTTAAATACTCCATTCCTTTTGGCGATCATAGTAATCAGTTTATTTGCTCAGATTTGATTTAAATACAGTAATCCTTGGTATGCATTATTCAATAAGCCCAGTTTTCAAGTCCTAAAGCAGGCCATCTGAATTCAGGCTATGTAGCAATCCACCAAGTGGAAATAGGGCAGCGCTGTCTGTTCTCTGCCAGCAAGGCCAGTGAACATAAAAGCTGCTGAAGTTCAGCCATGGAGGTTGTGTAATGCACCTCTTTCACTGCTTAACTTTGGTTGGTGTTAAGAGATCCACCAAACACGGCGTGTTTAACCTAGCTGGCGAGAAATGTATTTCTGAGCTTGACCACAGGATGAATATTTAATCAGATAATCAGATTAGCTGTAAAAAGGTAAACTGAAACCGGTTGTAATGCCCTTAACTTTGTTTGTGAAATGGTACCATTGTGACTTGAGCCAATTTAGAAATATTATCATTAGTCATTTACCCTGTGCTCTGCACAGACCTATTAGATCTATTAGATTAGAAAGCTACTCTTGCTTCCAAAAAATGTCATGCAATGCAATTGAAATGTATTTCAAAACATGTTTTTCTACAAAAACTAGTTTATTTGTTCAATTTTTTTGCTGTTTGTCTTAGTTTTCTATTACTTTTAGCTCTGTAGCAATGAATACTCTGTTATGCAGACTGTAAATTTGTTTTCCATTGGTTTTTGGCTTTTGTATTCATTACATTATCATTATTTCAGATACCAGTTTTTAACCAAGAAAAAATGTCTCTACTCCAACTTTTCCCCACCCCTCTGTCTTTTCAGGATGGTTCCAAACAGAGGCAGGTGAGGAAGAAAACTGTGTCCTTCAGCTCGATGCCGAGTGACCGTAAGATCAACAGCACTGCTGCCTGCATGGCCTTCATGATGGAGGGTTGTGAGATGAAGAAGGTGCGCTCCAACTCGCGCATGTACAACCGCTACTTCCTGCTGGATCCAGACATGCACTGGCTCCGCTGGGAGCCGTCCAAGAAAGACTCAGAGAAGGCCAAACTGGAAATCAAGAGCATCAAGGAGGTCCGTTTGGGAAAGAAAACTCCAGTTTTGCGCAGCAATGGTCTCTCAGATCAGTTCCCTGAGGAATGCGCCTTTTCTATTATCTATGGGGATAATTATGAGTCTTTGGATTTGGTAGCCAGTACTGCAGATGTTGTCAGTACATGGGTGATGGGCCTTAGGTATCTGGTGTCTTATGGCCGTCACACTGTGGACATGGTGGAACACAATCAACCAAGCCTACGAACATCTTGGATTGGTTCAGTGTTTGACCTTGCAGATATGGAAAAAGATGGACACATAGACCTGTTCAGAGCCACTCAGATCATCAAGGGGCTCAATCCTGGAATGAAAGAGGCTAGGATAGAGTTGAAGTTTAAGGAGTTACAGAAAGCTAAAGACCAATATGGAGAAGCAATTAACATGGACACATTTGTGGAGGCCTATTGTGAGCTCTGCACCAGACCAGAGATTTTCTTTCTGTTGGTCCAGTTCTCTAGTAACAAGGAGTATCTGGACAATAAAGATCTGATGCTTTTTGTTGAGGTTGAGCAAGGAGTAGAGGGTGTTACAGAAGAAATGTGCAGAGATATTGTCCAGAAATATGAGCCATCCGCAGAGGGTAGAGAAAGGGGCTACCTCTCCATTGATGGTTTTACACACTACCTCCTGTCCTCTGAATGCCACATCTTTGACCCGCAACACAAACGTGTGTGCCAAGATATGAGCCAGCCTCTGTCCCATTACTACATCAACTCGTCGCATAATGCCTCCCTTCTCGACGATCATTTCTGGGGTTCGTCCGACATCAGCAGCTACATCCGTGCTCTAAGAATGGGGTGTCGCAGCATTGAGGTCATAGTGTGGAATGGCCCCGATAATGAGCCGGTGGTATATGTCGGTAGTTCTGTGGCCTCACAGCTGGCTTTCTCTAAAGTTCTGGACATTATAAACCAGTATGCTTTTGAAAGTTCTGAATACCCCCTGATTCTCTGCCTGGTGACTCATTGCTGCATCCCTCAGCAAAGGGTCATGGCCCAACACATGAAGAAGATACTCGGTGACAAACTTTACGTTGATCCCCCAAATAAAGAGGAAAATTACCTACCCTCTCCGGAACGACTTAAAGGTAAAATTCTTTTGAAGAGTAAAAAGCTGCCACCCAGTTGCATAGATGCCGAGGGGGACGTTACAGATGAGGAGGAGGGTCTGGAAATGTCTCGCAGAGTTGGAGCTGATGAGCAGGATGAGCTTAATGGCTTGGGCTGCAAGAGATTGAGGCTGTGCAGGGAGCTATCTGACCTTGTCTCTCTCTGCAAATCAGTGCAGTTCAGGGACTTTGAAATCTCCAAGAGGGACCAAAAATACTGGGAGATTTGTTCTTTCAATGAAGTAGATGCGAACAGATTTGCCAACGAGTTTCCGGAGGAGTTTGTCTGCTACAACAAGCGCTTCCTTTCCAGAGTATACCCCACACCTATGAGGATTGATGCCAGCAACATGAACCCCCAGGACTTTTGGAAGTGTGGCTGCCAGATTGTAGCCATGAACTACCAGACTCCAGGCTTGATGATGGACCTTAACTTGGGATGGTTCAGGCAGAATGGCAACTGTGGGTATGTCTTACGGCCCGCCATCATGAGAGAGGAGGTGTCCTACTTTAGTGCCAATGCTCGCGACTCCCTGCCAGGGGTTTCTGCCCAGCTTCTTCACATCAAGGTCATCAGTGGCCAGAATCTGCCTAAACCCCGAGGCTCTGCCGCGAAGGGGGATGTGGTGGAGCCCTACATATATGTAGAGATTCATGGCATACCAGCTGACTGTGCTGAGCAAAGAACCAAGACCGTGTCCCAGAATGGAGACAACCCTATTTTTGATGAGACTTTTGAATTCCAGATCAATTTACCAGAACTCGCAGTTCTACGCTTTGTGGTTCTGGATGACGACTACATTGGAGATGAGTTCATTGGCCAGTACACCATCCCTTTTGAGTGCCTACAACCAGGCTATAGACACGTCCCTCTACAGTCTCTTACAGGCGAGTTCCTGCCAAACACCACCTTGTTTGTTCATGTAGCCATCACCAACAGGCGGGGTGGAGGAAAGGCACATAAAAGGGGTCTATCTGTCAGGAAGGGTCGGAAGGCTCGCGAGTATACCACCACCAAGACCACAGGAATCAAAGTAGTGGACGAGCTCTTCCGAGCTTCCACGCAGCCCCTCAGGGAGGCTACAGACCTCAGAGAAAATGTGCAGGTAAGAAGACACATGACTAAACTTTGTGTGAAACATAATCAAAAATCATTAATGATGGACTTTGATGTTGATTTTCTCTGCATTTATGCAATGATACATTCTTGTGAAACATATGCAGTATTGTAGAAAACGTCAATTGTGATCTATGCAGTAGATTTCTGTGAGTGTTTTTGTTTTTGTTTCCAGAGCAGCACCGGGAAAGTCACTTTTGGTTCTGTTAAAAGATAACATATTTATTTGCTGGTGCTGTGATGAACATGTCCAGATTCCAACTTATCTCAATGTCTGAACAGACAGAAAATGATACGGATAACGTTCATGGGAAACGATTACTGATTTACATGCTTGTTTGTGGTAAAATACCGCACATGGTGAAAATAGAAGTCGTGTATAATGCATTACCTAGTGTGTGTTTAGAAACATTGTTGTAAATGCAGTGGTATGGTACAGAATTCAGAATCGTGAAAATAATTCATCTTCATGCTCTTTGGACATTCAACATGCGTGGCAGCTTATGTAATGTCCTACTTTGTGTATAAATGGATCTGATTCATGTGATTCCCTGATACCTTCTTGAGATTACATATGCATTCCAGGACTTTCATACTAATCTTCCCTGCTATTTAAAGTTGAGACGAGAAATGTCTCATTGTGCTTCATTAGTTGCTCTCAGTCTGATTTGTTTATTAGTTTGTAATTGGACCTACCTCTCTTGACATGTTGAATGGAGAGTTGCTGTTAATGAAGCACTATTACTATCATAGGAAGAGAGGCAATAAAGTAAAATCGCTGTTCAATTACGAGGTTTATGAATTGTGTAATCACTGATGAGGGACTGCTCAGAGAAGGGGACTAGCTGGCTAAATACTTTGTGGGCTACTTGGATGCTCCTCCTGGATGAGCAATTGAAGATTTGTCACCATGGTGTAAATCTGTGGAATGACTAGCTGCAGAGGCCTGACTTAGCGGCTTATATTTGGTGTGCGACGACAGACAGAGGCGATGCAAATCTCCTCATTTGTTCAGTCAACACATTACAAAGGTCAGCAGGCATTTTGTCATGTTTTGTGTTTGTTGGCTCTTTTTAAGCAAAATATGAAACAACGCTGACAAAACTACACTGACATTTCCATTTACAGGTTCCATCCGTAATATTGTTTAGAGTAAAAGAAAGGCAGCATTTAAGAAAGAAAATCCATTTTGCTTTTTGAATAGGCTCAAGGTTATTTCTTTTTTTTGTAGAAAATGGCTAAAAGACTTAAGGAATTCATAGTACAATAAACCTTTCCAAAGAGAAATCAGGGAAAAGATCATTCTTTACAAAACTTGGATATGAATATATATCCCGGAACAAAGACAAAGCACAGAGACTGATACATTAAGTTCACTGTTGAGTTCGTACATCATGCGTCATTCAGATATTTAGCTGCTTCACGGCAAATTTACACACATGGCTAAACATGTATCACATATTGAAATGGATAGACAGATCTTACTACCTAAACATAGCTGACCTCTAAATTCAATCTTAGAATTTAATTCACCTGTAATTTTTCTACACCAACAAAAGGAAATGCATCATAAACTCTTGTTTAAGTGGAAAAAAATTAAGAAAGCTTCATTTCATCTCGCAGAGGCGACACATTTAACGTCCCAGTCTACGTATCCTGGCCATAAACACATAAACGAAGTGAGCCTGTCTATCCTCAGTAAGGAGCAATGGCATTTTAATGGCACAGCAAACAGAAAGGCAGACCAAGCCAAACAGCAAATGTGTAATCAAACATCCTGAGGGGCGTCTAGAATTTTTCAGTTGTGGAAGTAATGCTGTTATGGAAATGTTCTTCAGCACCTATATAGAACAACAATAACTTGGGAGTCCTAGAGGTGATGTCAGTGTCAGGGCATGAGTAACACGATCAAAACACAGTCTGGGATGGAGGAAAATTCTGTGATGAATAGATAAAATACTGAGACAGCTTCATCACTACACTCTTCACATCCCATTTTAAAGCTTGCGGTGTCACTTTCTCTGAAAAGTCTCACTCCAGTGAGTTGTGCTGCTAAATTTTGGTTCAGCCTGGTCAGCATAAAATGTGATGAATAAGGCAGGAAATGTTCGTCAGCCCTGCAAATTTAACTCAGACTAATAAAACGCCATTACCTTTGTAAAACTGCAATCATCTAACTAATGCTAAATTTGGACGTAATCACAGTCCTGCCATGTGTCACAGATAAGACTCTAATCTGTGCCATAATTCATCTTTCATAACAAATGGCTTCAGAATCTAATCTGTGGGCCTGAATGAAAAATGTCAGGAGGTGATAGAATATTAATCTGTTAACCTGATCAGATAACACTGGCGGCTCAAACCACGGCATGCCAGATTTTCCTCAGGTTTGATATGTAAATTTGTCTCTTTAAAATCAAGATTAAAGTTAATGGAAAAAAATCGACGTGATGAATTTGAGAAGGGATGCAACAAAGAGGATGAATAAAAGTGCTCGCAGAATAATGCGTGTGTCTTTTAAATGTAAAGAATAAAGGGCAGCTAGGAAGGCTTTGTAGAGGCCAGCTGTTTGAGTCTTTGAGCCCTGGACCTGGAGACCCACAAACCAACAGACCCAGTAGCTGTACATCTAATCACTTCCCTGACTAGATTTTGAGTGTAGACTTTGACATTAGAAAACATAATTATGTGCTCATTTGAACTGAATCTACAGATACAAGTATAATACAGCTTTTGCCCTGTAGCGGTGCACACACATACACACACATTTGCATATTTGTAGTCTGCACACATTAACTGATATTAACAGTATCTTTTTCCAAGATTCCCTCTTTTCTCTGGAAAATAAATGGTTTCATTTGATCCATTTAGAATGACGATAGACAAACATAGGTGCCCTAAGGTTCTGTAAAGACAGAGAATCCACAAAAATGGGCAGATCTGAGAGGACACGCTGTCGTGTGGAGCAAGTAGCCGCAGCTCATTGGTGTCTGTGGGAATATTTGGTGCCCACTGATCCTTGATGTGCAAAATGTTGGGTTGAGGGAGCGATGCCTGCCGGGAGTTTCCCTTTATTTGCTCAAACATTTCTGTGCCATCATCAACATTTTAGCAGTCTGTCTGAAATACAAGGGAGTGATGCAAAGATGGAAGCACAAAGAGAAACAGAGAGCTGGCCAAACAGAAACAAAAGTAGTGTTGTAACTGGACACGGAGTTCTTATTTGGGGAATGTTGGAAGAGGAATAAAGTGGGGGAAGGGAGCAATTAAAAACAAAAGCCTCCTGTTGAGTTTGGTAACACTTTGACTAGGAAACAGTTTGGCTTTTAGTGCAAAACTGACTATCAAAAAAACATCTATGCATGTGGGCCCTTGCAGGAAATGATACAAAGGCTGCTAATAACTTCAACTCAGACCACAAATGCTCATAGCTCACACATTAACACACGGCGGGTGTTTTTATCCCGAGACTCAGCGCTCTCTGTTATATTTTAGTGTGCATACAGTACAGATACTGTGTTCTCTGGACAGCTTCTTCTGTCTCCTGGAAGATTGGGCTTGCTGGTAACCTCATATTTCCTTAGGTAGGAGGTTTTTCTAGAGGCTGGGGATCTTGCCCAGAGAAGCAGCACTGGGCACAATGTGTGGACTCATTCCCGTGATCTTTCCCGTTTTATCCTGCTGTTTATTCTTCAGTGTTTCTCATTTCGAGTCTCACCTCATGTTATAATGCCTCAGCCCAAACCACTCAGCCTTTCTCACACAAGTCTTGCCTATTCGCCGGGCTCGATTTTGTTTGCTTCGCCTCTTCTGCTGGCATCAAAATTAAACACTATTAGGAGCAGCTGCATATTCAAGAGAGCTTTCGAGATGTAGGACCAGCTGTGGGCTGGTAAGCATGCTGGCAGAGGAGCTGTGAAGGCTAACAGAGGGGGGAGTTAAGCTTGTAGCCCACTTCAGATGAAGCTGGGTTTAGGTGGAAAATAACAGGGCTGCCAGCGTATAACAGCACACAAATGGGTCAAGATGTAGATGTTTGTGAAAGATTGCAAAAAAATCGGTGAGTAGCAACTACCAAGCAGGAAATATCTGTGCAAAAATACTGTCGAATCTAACCAAAGGTCCAACACGGAACACTAAATATATGCAAGTAAACAGATATTTGGCTTAAACTAAGTGGGCTCTCCTTGGATTGCGATAAAGTGTGGAAACTGGAGGGCTTTGCAGGACCGCACATGCATGAGGTGTGATAAATAGCAGACTTGGCACTTATAAACAACTAAGATTTGCTGTTGAAATTTTAATCGCAGGACTTAAAAAGGCTTAATTTGATTTTTTTTAATCTATCAGCAGAGATCTAAAGTTCTTCCATGTGCAACTTTGTTAACACTTAGCAATTTCAAAGTGTTATTTATATATTTGCAGTAGGTGCCAAAAGCTACATTAAGTTGGACAAAACAACCATTGAAGGAAGAAGGAAGGAAAGAAAGAAAGAAAAAAAAGAAAGATGGACGATTAAGGGACTATATTTAGTAACCTCCAAACTTCGGTCAGAAGCTCGGCTCTGGAGTCTTTGATGAATGAGCAAAACCTGCCAGGAAGTGCATAATTTTATCATCACCAACGCAAACGCTTTCCTATCGTATCTCACATCTAGTCAGACAGGAGTATCACAATTCCCCTTCATTAAATCTCTGCACCCAAGATCGTCTTCAAAAAGTCGTTTTCACTCCACTTGGAGTACAATCAGTAACATTTGTTGCCAGGCTCAAAATAAGGGCGATAGCTCATTAGAAATAGCTCTGGTTGATTCCACGGGATTGGAAATGTAATGTAGTGGCTTGCAGCACAATGATACACTAGAACCTGTGCAGCGCCACGTGATTCATGTTGATGCTGAGTGAAATCTTTGTGATATATTATTTACCACTAACCTTTTTATTGTAGCTGGAATGGTGAATATTGTAAGATTTCAGCAACCATGTCACACCTGTAGGAACTGAATATACTGTCCATTACTTAAATAAGGCCACAGAAACACCTTTAATAGCAGCCAATAACCTGTTTTTTTGTTTTGTTTTCTCCTTTTGGTTCTTTGTCAGAATGCCATGGTTTCCTTTAAGGAGCTGTGTGGCCTGACCCCTGCCGCCAACATGAAGCAGTGTATCCTGACGGTGTCCACCTGGCTGATGAACAGCGAGCGATCGCTGAGGGTGACGGTGGACCTGAGCGAGACCTACCCCACCATGGAAGCTCAGGGTCCCGTGCCCGAGCTGTTGCGGAAAGTGCTCAACGCCTATGACATGGTAGACCACCCACACAAACAGGAAAGAGTGTATTAAGCGCTACCAGGGGAGCTGACGCAGCTACCACTGAGCGTGTGTGTTTTTAAATAGCTCAAATGCACACTCACAATTCCATAAGTCATTGTTCATTTGAAATATCCTTACGATTTGTGACACTTAACTAAATCTACTTTTCTGATTAAATCTACCCCAAACAGATGACTAGTAATTCTTGAGTTTTTGACAGATTGAAACGCTTTAATTCAAGCTGCCAGGCAGCCGAATGACTACAAGGCTTCAAGATGTACCCCAAACCACCTAAGTGACCTGTCAAACGGTCAGACTGCCCCTTGTTGTCGTCTGATTTCACACCCCTCTCTGTGCACCCACCTCTAGAAGAAGCTGAGCATTTTTTTTTTACTTTGTGACATTGGCAGAGCCCAAAAGTGGGATGGACTGCTCTGTAATTAGTTATCACCTGCTGTTTCTACTCCCATCCTCCTCTCCCTTGGGAGGCTCAGTGGGAGATGGGGAAGTGGGTTATTGCACCATCCATGCTGCTCAAGGCATCAGCGCTTACATCTGTACATAGAATCTACTCTTTACAAAATGCTCATTTTTTAGACATAATTCTGTCATTACTCCCTTTTTATTTTGTCCTCCGTCGCTGAATAACTGTCCTTTGTTCTTAATTTGTGCCTTGCAGGTATCCAGTAATTAAAATCTGTATGTGCTGAACTCATCTTAATTAACATTTTTCTAAAAGCACAACAGCAATTTGATTAATTAATCTGTTTATTCATACAAACCTTTTATCAACAATTCCGCTTTGTCAAATGTAAATATATCTAAGAAATATAAACAAATCTTGAGCTTGATGTCAGGAACACAGTGAAAATAGGTGGAACAGAGTTTAAAAAAGACAATTAAGTTAATGTTATATACAGTAATTATAATACCTTCCTATAAAATTATGTTTATTCATCATATTAATTGGTAGCAGGTTAGGGTGTCACGTTTAGTTCTAAAAATAGCATTCAGAAAAGGTTTAGTCTTTCCATGCAAAGATGGATCGAGGCTTACCGCTTTTCTCTAAACGCTGACATGGAATCGTCAATACGCGAACCAAATGTTTCTTAAAGCTATGAGAAACCATAACGCCACCGTTATCCAACAGCCACACGGGTTCCGGTTTCACTGAGGGAAAACTATTCTCCCCCTGCACCCAGAGACGTTTCACAGTTCTTACATCATGTGGACAGACAGACGGTGGACAAGTGGTCTGCGGTTAAATGAGTCCACGTTTCAGCTGTTAAAACCAGATGTCTGGCTCTTTGTGCCAATGATGAGAAAGACCACCCAGAGTGTGTAACGGGTGCAGAAGCCACACTGTGTGATGGCGTGGGGGTGCTTCAGGGTCCACGGCGTGGATGACTTGCACATGTGGGAGGGTACCACTGATGCAGACGTTTACATCCAGCCAAAACTGACACAAACTCCTCCTCAGCAGCTTCAGAAATGTGTTTCCTTGGTACCCAAACATGGCTCTTTTGCCCCTTTTGAGTCTCTCCCGTTAATGATTTCTACGTGGAATCGTAGCCGTGTTGTGTGGCAACATGTTTGATGGCCGGACCGCCCATTTACCTTAAACTGGCCGGCTGCCACACTCTGTGCACAAGAACAGAGGGCCCACTGTATGTGTGCGCGGGCGTGTGTGTGTGTGTGTGTGTGTGTGCTTACGAATGTGTGAAAGCGTATTACTTCATGGCAGCACGACTGCCAATAACAGGTCATTTAGTCTAACATATCTGTGAAGTCTGTGGCCTCAGTAACCCACATGTGGGCTGAGGCCAGCATGTAAAGCCTAAGTGGTCAAAGTAGTAAATTGATTGTATCTATATATCTGTCTAAATGCACAAGGAAAGTGAAAATTTAGTATATACTGTATGACCTTTTCTTTTCAGTATTCACTTCAATAGATTTTGCACCAAAATGTTCTATTTTTACTTTTTTATGAATGATGATGCTCTCAGCTGTAATAGGTCTTTAAATGATAAAGGGAACCAGCTGTCTCGGTTCTTGTTTATCTCTCATTTTCCTTTTCAAGAATTCTAAGCGGATACAGATTTTAACACAAAATAGTTGTTTTTTTTTCATTATCTCTTGCTTTGTCAAAACAAGTTCAATAGAGCAATAAAAAGATATTCACATGCACACGCTCATTTACCTAGTGTGACAGTCCACTTCCTGCCTCCCACAGGAGCATGAAACTTCATTAGCTGCCTCCTCAGTGCCGTAGTTCAGCGCCAGCTGCTCCTCCTCAGCTCCGTTGGCCGATGTTTAGGGATCATACGCACAAAATCTGGTCGTGTGCAACATTTGAAAGGTTTTTAAAAAAAAACACATTACAAGTGCTTTATGAAAATGAATAAACCCGGACAGAAAGAAAAATGCAATTAGGAAACACAGATGCGGTGAAGACAATGTGATATTTACTAAATATCTGCTTGACAGAGGTTATTACTCTACATTAATTATGGTAAAAATCACACCCTCCTCACTCCTTTACTGTATAATGTAACACACTGGTGTGCCTGCATTAAACACACAGGAAATCTGCAAACTGTTTTGTGTGCGTGCCAAATTAATTAGAAATTATCTGCTTCCTCTGATTATGATCTTACCACAATAAATTTAATCAGATAAAAGCATCTACATGGCAACAATGTTGCCTTAATTGGACTCATACTGAACTGTTATTGTGCCTGTAAAGACAGTTCCTAAGAGCTAAGCCCATATGTTAAAAAAAAAAGATTCCTGGCTGATTCAGTCAAATTAGTTGTATAGCCAATCTGGCAAGAGAGTGGAAAACAAAGTGACATTGTGTCTAAAAGTTTGTCTAAAGGTGTGTCTGACTCTTATCTCTACATTCAGCACAAGGAACATCTGTTTGGTTTGACTGGGCCGTGACTGAAGGCTTTGAGGAAAATTCTGGTGTGACAGTGCATGGCGCTGTAAATTGATTTAATGTCTGTTTTTTTGTCTCTTAGATGATCCAAACCAGCAGAATCCTGATTGAGTCGGCTGATGTCGTCTACTCCAAGCTCACACAAGCACAACGTGCAGGTATTCATGGATGAATGCGTCCTGTATGCTTGAGTTGAGCAAACTGTTTATAAAAAAACGTGTACTCATCCATCCTGAAGTCTCTGAATTCAAAACATAAAAAAAAAACTTTTTTCTGTGAAGACAGCGATTTGTCATTCAGGGCTTTTAGGACCATTCGGGATACGTATCAGATTCAAATCTCCTCACTGACCGTAACAACGTATCGGCTCTAGAAAGCAGCCCATATTTCTCCTCACAGATCGGTTGTTCCGCCATCCTTTTTTTAAGATAAAGATTTGTACAAATCGGCCTCCGCTTCCTTTTAAATATTAATCGCGGCGCTGCTCTGTCTGACAAAACTGAGTGTGGTGTACCTACACCCACGGCATCTCCATCAACATCATGAGCCGCTGTGGATGGAGCGGGCCGCCGTGGGTGAGTCAGAGCAGAGTAGGTATGGGCAGTGGGCAGGTGAAAACAATCAGCCAGCCGCACAGACAAAGGGCTGCAGGGGGAAGAGGACAGAGAGCGTAAACATCCTCTCAGAGGGGGAGAGAAATGAAAAGGTTTGACAGAGTGTGGAGAGTCTGTCTGTCTGTGTGTGTGTGTGTGTGTGTGTGTGTGTGTGAGTAGCAAACACTAGAGAGAGAGATGGAATTAAAGATCAGTACAGTTGCTCGACGTAATAGATGTAACCTTTTAGGAGAGAGGATAAAATTGGCCGTGATACGATCGTTAGTAGAGAAATGGCTTCGAATGAAGAAATCCTGTATGCTTTTTCTCTACAGCCTCTTTCACGTTTACCGCTAATTCCTTCTCGTTTGCCTTCCTCCACCGCTGTGTGGCTGTGCCACTGCTGAGGAGCTCCTCAAATGAACAGCACGACGTTTGAAAGCTCATTTTGTTTGCTTTTGCCTAGCATTCTGGTGCTACGGACAACTGAGGATGTGCTAAAGAACTGATGCAAATAGAGAAACTCCACATTTAATTCCAACAATTCTAACCTATGGATTCCATGTTGTGCACATCCTTTTTTTTTAATGTATCTTGCTCCATTTCAAGACTGTCTGTTTTAGTCCCTGGTGTGGCTCCCTACAGCAGACCGGAGCGGCCTGATGTTCACGCTGTGCAATTACCCGGGGATGTGCTGAACACTTGGGCTTCAATCACCGCGCCGTTCCCTGGCTTTAAGGTTTTCCCAGCCCAGAGCTGGAGGCACCTTCAAAGGCGACGACTGCAGAGTTAAGCAGATCCTAAACCTCGCACGGCCGTACGCACAGCTGCGCCCATGCCCCAATACCTGTGGCTAATGCTTCCCTCTCTGCTGCCGTCAGATGAAAGAGCTGTGCTCCCATGAGCCGATCGACCGGGCTGAAACAGACGAATATATCTGTCTTGTCCTCAAAAATGTTCAAGAACTTAAGCCTTTCCCCAAGGAGCGTGAGCGTGAGCCCTGCGCTTCAACTGGAAATTCATGAACTTCACATAAGTAAAGGAGAATGACACAATGGGACTAAAGAGTTGGAAGCGACAGTGGAGGGGCCCTCAGCAGGCCTCAGTCTGTGGCATGCCAAACGCCACCCACTCAGACTCCCCTGCCCTTAGCACTGAAACACAATCCTCCATCCAATCCGCTGCCATTCTGGAACCAGGCCTATTTCCCATCAATTCCATCTCTGTCTATCGGTGGTTTCAGGCACTTGTAAATTTGATAGCAATACGCCAAGCAAGAAAATGGATGGGCGAAATGGCTGGATTTTCTCTGAAAAGCTGCCAGAGACAACTAAAGCAGTGAAATGTAACTTCACATCACTTCCCCATGCAAAAATATTGCCTCTAACACCAGTATTTCACATTACATCACTGTCACCCTCAAAGTTGCAGTTAAAGAAAAAGCGTATGATGTAGAAATGATAACGCTGGTGTCTGAGTCACCATTTTGGTTTTCTGCCATAATAGTCAACAAGTATATCTAAACTTACTCTTCATCTTTCTTAACACAGATCCTTCTCGCCCACTTCTCTCAGCATCTCTTTGTCCTCGCCATCTGCCTCTTGTGTCGTCACTTCTATAAATACATCTAGATGGATATGTACTATATATATACAATTTTGCCTTCGAGGGGAAATGTAAATCAATGTTGTTCTAGTTTTTAAAATGCAGATCGGCTTGAGAACTGGAATACATTTCACTTTAGAGCTACTCTTAAATGCTGCACTCACTCTAAAGATGAATATGCAGAGATGCTGAATGTGTTAGTATTCTACAAGAATATGCTCTAATTCATCAGATGGAACAGAATGCCGCACATGCACCTGCCTCTGTGCACTCATCCCGACGTTTAATCCACTCTCATGTTATAATTTTAGCATGTGTTAGCATGTGCTTCAGTTGATTACTGTTTTGTTTACCCTCCAGAGATAGAAAAGCCACAGAGAACATTGTGTTGACCCCAAACCCTGCATCGTTTTTTTGGGATTCCCAGGAATAAACCTCTTGTGATACATGTCATGATCTGAGTAAACAACTCAGAATGCACAAACTATATACATAGACAGAGCAACAGCAGGAACAACCTGAGAGAGACACAGATGTGAGAGATTCCTAAAGAGCCCTACAAGAATAGACGGTGTGGATTTGCATGGAATTGAAGGTTTTGTCAAAGTTATAATTTTGGTGTAATTGCTGTGCGGGAAGCGGCAAAAGGTGCTATTAGAGGACAGGCTGTCAGGGTGTCGGAGAGAACATGGGATGGGTCTGGATCCGTGGCTTTGTCCGCTTCATCTAAGCTTAATTTAAAGCCTGTGATTGAGCCTGACACATTTGCCCCGGGCATTAAGTGTGCTGCCCTCATCAGCTAAATGCTGTTGTGGCAAAGCCATAATCACAATGGGGACCGTGATCTAAAATGAGAAACTCACGCCAAACTCTCAGCTCCTCTCCTCTCTCTTTTTTGAAAAGCCTGAGTAATGCGGGAGTCGGTCACAACGGCATATGACAGTGTGGGTTATTTATGGTTTTCACTGCCTTACTGGAGCTCTTCTTCTTTTATGCACGGTCATTGTCGCAGCTAATCAGTTTAATTTGGGCAGTGGAGCTTACGTGTTGATGAAGATGGAGAGGTGCTAGATGATAATGGGAGATCGGGAAAACAGCTGGGGTGCAGACTCCAGATGCTACCACAGTGTGTCGGTCCTTGTGGATATTGTGCGCTCTGCTTTATGTGATACAGATGCAAAATCCGAGTGTACCCAGTGTACCCACCTCACACCTCTCTCTTAAAAAAAACGAGGACATTTTGGTCTCTAATTCATTCAGGTGATTTATCACCCAATGTTTAAGGGCAAGTAGAAACAAGCAGTTTTGAGAGACGGAGGAAATGAGGCTCCCTCCGCTGTGTTTTTAAAAAAAAGAATATGTGCAGGAATTATGATTTAGGTGACAGTACTTTGACACGTTTTAGCTTGAACTGAACCTGCCCCTGAGGTTACCCGCATCAGAAGCATCTCCAAAATCCTGCTCTGACATAAAGATACACTTAAGACAGATAGACCCCCCTTTAGAAAAGGCTTGTATGTTTCAAACTTTGCGTTCTTGAAGAAAGCCCAGGACCATGCAGTGGTGAAACAGGTCCTGAAATGGGTTTAAGCCCCTCTTTCTTAACCAGCAGAGCTTGTTGATGACATCTTTATCCATGCAAGGACCCATTTGTGTGATCAATTGCTTAGTTCTGTTATCAGGGAAAATCCAGATGATAAAAGCCGTTCCTTTGTCTTGTCATTTTACAAAAGCTGGATAATCCTGCTCTGTATTTGAAATTATGACACTGTGCTTTGGTTCTGGAGTGTGCATGAATTTTGATGAATTGATAAAACAATGATCTGAGGCTTCTTTCTCCCTCTCACCACCTGTCCTGTCTTTGTTTCTACTGTTTGGATTCACTGGCTCCTGTTTAGCCATTCTCTTTGATTTCATTGTTTACCACCTTACCCTTTCTCTGCCTGGGGCCTGTAGCTGATATGAATTTGGAGCACAAGGTTGCCTCATTAGGAGTAATTACAAAGCCAAAAACCCATGTCTTATCTGTACTCTAAGCCTTTACTTAGTGTGTTTTTTTTGCCAGCACTTGTGTGGCTACTCAGGGAAGATCTGCTGTTCGTTTAAGTCCTCGTGTCTGAGCACCTCTCCGTCTTTGTTTTACTAGAGAGATAAAACAGAAGACCCGTCTCTCCAGACTGAGCCACGGGGCTACATTTTTTTTTAGTTAACGTGACAGCAAGGCACAGCAACTGTGTTACTGTTAGGGAAGGTAAAGCTTAATATTAGCCAAATTAAATGCTCGAGAAGGCTGAATTGCTATGAACTGCCTCCAGCTAACCTAATCTCTCATTCGGCTCCCTGCCATGTCCTGTGATTGCAAACTATCTTGGCTCAGCTCTCCACCGGCAGAAGCCCCTTAACTACAGCAGATTATATGATCAAATCAGTCCAAATCCCTGTTAATGAAACTTTCATGCTCTGAAACAGTTATTCACATGCAGTTATACATCACTGGCCTTTAACAAATTAAGGAAGAAAAGCGATCTTAGGTCTTTTTTAGCATGTGAAAGTCTAAGTTAAACTTAGGAGCAGCCGTTTCATTAGAATGATGCATGTCTATGTGTGTGTGTGTGTGTGTGTGTGTGTTTGTGATGCATCAAGGACATACCCAAGTAAGATTGTGGGCACCCAAGTGTTTTATCCTAAGCATTAGTACTATTAAATGCAACTCTACTATTACATAAAAACATGCGTTTCTTTCAATTTACATAATTCTGTAAAAATTGAATCCACCAGGAATCAAGAGTTTTTAATTAAAACCAAAGAAAGAGCGAAGCTTGCCACTTATCTGAGGTAATCGGCTATCTAAGGAAATCAATTTGACAGAAGACTTCTCCTGATGGCAGTCGAAGTGCGGAATCTGTACACTACTTATTGCAAAGTGCTGAATGAATGATGAGAGGAAGGCCTTTTTGTGAGCCGCTGTGATTCATCCACGTCTGTGCAGTGAATCAAAGCCGGGGTGACATAAGGTGATCCGTCAGCGACAGACTGACGGCCTGATACCTGCGGGTTTAGATGAAGGTTGTTCTTAATGCCCGCGGGGATTGATACTGACCTAAATGAGCTAAATTAAGTCTGAACAACTGATAGGTTAACTGGAGATTACCCAGCATTAGTACCACATCAGTTTTACCCTCAAAAGTAGACATTACATAACACAACTTTGCTGTAGATGCTGCACAACAGGTATCCACAAATGCAGAGAAATGATTTAAACTTGTAATATTGTTCATTTAATCAGTAATTCTAATTCTAGTTGTTACACTCCCAGTTCGATAGGCTTTTGAACAACACATTTTCGACGCTGCCGTTCTGTTTTTGACTTTAGCGATATGTGTTTGTGTGTGTCCGCCTGCAGGCCTGGACTTCCACGAGGACCTGCATCGCATCGGGGCAAAGGAGGGTCTGAAGGGTCGCAAACTTCAAAAGGCACTGGAGAGCTACGCTTGGAACATCACTGTACTCAAAGTGAGCGAGCTTCCGTCGTAGCATAACTGGTATAACTAAACCACCAGCATGATCTATTCAACCAGGATCCAAAAACTGCACGGACCTCCGGTTCATTTAAGTTTTACACTTTGTCCCGTCTCTATTCCCTACAACTCTAAAGTAAACACTGTTGCGGCAAGCTTTTGGATACACACCTGCCAGTGTTACTATCTCCATACACTCATTAAGAAGGCGCCACACCTCGTGGCTCTGCGCTAAAAACGATGCACACAAGCATCTGATAAGCGACTGATGATGTCCAGAGTCTAAGTTTTAAATGTTTATTATATATATTTAAAAATCTTCATTTGCCCAGTTTGATGTAAAATTCTAGTTTGCTTTTGAAGGAACATTCTAAGCCATTAGGACCCTCGGTCAGAGCTGGCCAGAGTCTGCAGGTGCCCCCCCGCTCTGCTCACAGCCCCATCAACCTTCAGCACTAAGCTAGGACAACCTGTATGTTGCCCGGGAGGCAAAACCCATGGCTGAACGTTTTTTTTTTTTTTTTCGAGCATGCGCGTGGCGCTAGCTGAAGGTGACTCAGATACATTTATATAAGGAAAAACAAGCTTCTCAGAAAATACCGTCTTGTGCGTTTGGCCAGCCCAAAATGGGGAATAAAGCAGAAAAATCAAATATTTAGCTTTTTTCTCATTTCGTCATCCAACATCGTGATGATTTGAAGTAGATACATCCAAACTAACCCCCTTCCCGTTACAGTTATCACTCCCACGTCTTCCTCCCTTCCCTCTTTCAACGTTTCCTCATCCTCTTATTTCTTGGATGAGCCATCCTTTTAGCAAGAGAGGCTTCTTGGCATGCACGGAGCTACTCCTCTTCCTCCCCCCCCAATTCTTCTCTGCCTCATATTGAACATTTGGTGAGAGCGAGGGGGTTTGCCAGGCCTGGCAGTTATTCCCAGTTATTTCACCTGTCAACCTCTCCAGATTCTCAGCAGGCCGGGCCGGGCTCGCCGGTGGAGGCGGGGATGGGGAAACAAAGGGGGGGCTGAGGGGAGGGGATTAGTAGAGTCACGTTCTCCTTGTCTCTCCCTAACTCCCACTCCAACTGTACTTTGACTGTGACAGTAAGATCAGAGCTGTCATGATGAATGATGCTTTTTTTTTTTTTTTTTTTTTTCCATTTCCCGTCACTCATTTTAACTCTCTGTCAAAACAAAAACCCAGAAAGACAGAGCAGCCGCTTCGTAGAAAGTGTCAGGCATTTTGAAGTCCCCTTTGAAAAGAATTGACGCATCCAAAAATGATGCATCTCCTTGTTTCCACAAACCATTTTCCTTTTCATTTCTCATTAATAAATGTGTAAAAAGCTCATTATCACATAATCGAGCAACCCCCTGCTGAAATATTATTTAACGTTTAGTGGAACCGGCTCTTTTTCATCACATATTGTCCTGCTTCACTCGAGCCACAGTGGGCAATAGATCTGGTTGTGACTAATTATTCCATAATATGGTAGATAATTTGTCCTGCCCGTGCTGTTATCTTGTCATTAATAACTGTCAGTATATTTCTATAGAAAGTCGACAGTAAATTCAAGTTATTTCAGAGAAATTGGCTAATAAACAAGGACGCCGGGCTGGGATTCAACAAGCACGCAGTGCTGGGATTAGGTTGTTGCTCTTGCTTTGGCTAAACCCCCAGCAGATAGCTTTAGGCGTGAATGCATCCAACTTCAAGTGCCATCACGGTTTGGCTGTTGTAGCACAGGACAAGCTTTGCGCTGTCTTATTTAATGCCTGGTGAGTCATGACTTATGTAATTTCTTTTTTTTTTTTTTTAAACATATGACTTATTCATGCTATCGGTTTGTGTTCTGACTTGGAAAAAAAACGCCACTTGCAGCATATCATGATCACTGGGGAGCAGGACAGCATGCCGGCCTACCACCTTTACTCTTCCTGCAGGATGCCCAGGCCGCGTGGACCCGAAAAAACGGGTCCCTTTCATTGTTTACACTTCAGTCTGGTGCACAGCAGGTCAGCATGTGCCACTTTCACGGGGATGTTAGTCCAGCAAGCTGTCGCAGTAGAGGAAGGAGGTAAAATATGTAGATTTCCAGATTAGACGGCAGCTGCTCTCATCTTCCCGGCGAGCACGTGTCGGGAGCGGACACACTGGAAGCGAGATGGTTGTGACAGAACAAAAGAGCCTGCGGGGAATAAAGGACACAATTTAAAGGCTGCAGATACGGAAACGATTTAGTCAGATCCTGCGTTTTTTTTTTTCCCCGTCTTTTTTCATCTTTGGACACCTCTAACGGTAAACATACTTCTTACGCACAGAAATAACTGCCTGTGGAGAAAAAACTCCCACCATTTTTTTCCACATGACAGAGACAACCATCTTAAGGAAGCAGGCAGCTCTGACCGTGCCCCAGATTTAGTTGACAGGGCCGAGATGCAGGACGCCAAACCCGGCTTCTGCCTCCAAATACGGCAGGAACTCATCTCTGGGTTGCTCAAATAAAGGCCAGAAACCTGGTGCAGCATTATCGCCATATGACAGCACATCACACCAGCTGAAAGGAGAAGCACAAAGGGCTGTCTAACATCCCAATTCCATTCAGTGGCTTTATACTGCCCCCTACTGTATATTAGTAGTTAATGCATTTAGCACACACTTTGTCTTTCAAGTCATTTTCCCTTTAAACATCTTTGTTTGGACACACAAATGTACTTTTGTAGCTTCAGATTTTTTAATAGAATTCATTTCGATAGACTCTAAGTTAAACCAGCTCCCAGTTAATTATAGAATATTTGTATTTGCTATGTTTTGTACAATATTATGAGACATTTGTATATTTTTCTGTCCCGAATACAGGGCCAGGCGGACCTGCTGAAGCACGCAAAGAGTGAGGCGTTGGACACTCTGCGTCAGATCCACTGCGCCGCTCAGTCCTGTGGCCTCAGCAAGAACGGAGCCGCCTCTCCCCAGCTCCAGCACCACCCCTTCCACCAGCCCCCACCCACGCAGCAGATGCCTCCGGTCAAGCCTCCACCGCTGTACCAGCCTCAAACTCAGCCTCACACCCAGACCGCGCCTCAGGCTTATCTCAGCCCGCACCCCCAGCCGCCCACTCTCCCCCCCACCCACCCCGTCTCAATGCCCCCGGCCTACCCCCAGCCCCCGCCCCTCACCCAGATCCAGCTTCAGTCACACAGCCAGCAGCAGAGGGCGGCGGGACCCCTCAACGCCATCCCCGAGAGAGAGAAAGAGACGGTCAGTGACAATCCCGTCGGGTCCTGCTGACCCGCAGCCTGTGCCCACAGAGATTCCCACCCAAAGAGAGACAGAGACGGAAAACAGGAGGTTGAGAAGGAAAGGAAAATGGAGGATGTTACACAGAGGGTGAAAGAGGTGACAGTGAGGAAGTCCCATCGCGTAAGAAGCGAGACTCAAGTTTGAGGGATTTGAATTGGTCAGTAAAGAAGACTAGAGTGAATTTTCTGTCATGAATTTTCTAAGCAGGAAGGGAAGTTGCCAGGATAATGTTTGTTTGTTGCTGGATTTGGAGGATGGCGTTCCAGTGCTAGGGGGGGAGTTTAAATCTCCCTGTTCTCTTAAAGATCAACAGCTGTGGAAAAAGCTTCTGGTTGGCCTTTCTGCAGAGGGATGCTCCATGCTTCGGATCCCCCTGTCTCTCTCTGGGTGGCACTTTTCACCACCCTCCACAACGTACTCTTTTTTGCTCTGTGGGTACAGGCTTTACCTCACATTGGCGTTTTTTCCGCCAAAAAAATTTTGCCTTTTGATTTCAGAGACGCCTCGGCATGTCTTTGAGCTTTTATTCCGTCATCTTCGGACTTCTGCTCCGCCATCTTAGACGTCAAGCTTAGTGCAAACCCCCAGCTCTTTTTAAAGAAAGAGTCGTTCTGCACAAAAATTAGAGCAGCTCTACTAGCGCACCGTAGGAGTCACAAATGACCATTGCAGCACAAAAACCAGGGAGTTCTAGAACAAACGTAGAAAAAACCCTGCTGTTCCCGAGGCGTTCGGTCACACTGATGTATTACTTGCTGTTGTCGGTCTCTATCAGGGTTTGGAGATCTCTAGTGTCATTTATTAGAGCTTAAGTTCGTCATCGTTCCCGGAACCTCCCCGCAGGTTCTCCTCCTCTCCTCCCCACGGGGCTGTGTCTATGATGTTCTGTGCGTTGGTGATTTGGTCCCCTGGGGGGAGCCGGCCCTCATCCTTAAGTGGTGGAGATCTTCAACCAGTCACGACTGAAATATCTGACCCGGCCTTTAAGAGGTCAAAGGTCAAAAGCAACTGGATACTGCTGTCTGGGGAAAAATCCAAAAATAAAGTGACTGTAGATGTAAAATGTATATGTAAAATGTATGAAGGGAACATATATTGTTGTAATAATTCTCAGATATTAATTATTGATATTCTAACTGTTTTTAGTTTTATTGATATTGAGATTCTTTTTTAACATCGTTTCCACATCTGCAGTGATTTGACACCTGTTGTGTGGACCAGATCAGGACCACCAATGCACATCAGAATGGAAAGAGGGATTACGGGTTAGCACCACAAAAAAAGAAAAGAAAAAAGAATAACCTGACATGTGTTTCACATCAAAGTGAGTGTGGATCGTGTAAGAACTCCTATAAATGGCCCATTAAAATTGGCTTAATTGTTAATCCTGCCTCCTTTTGTTAATTTGTGCTTCACACATCCGCGTGTATGAATGCAAACATACACGTGTGAGGGATTTTAAATATGCCTGGTGTTTTAAATTGTCAAAATGTATAGTTCTAATACTTTATGCTTACTAAATAAATACTAAATGAATGCTGATTGATGATTTTTCCACTTATATAAACTATAAAATTCTGGAGTATCATTCAAAGTTGTCCTCCCTTGTAAATCTAATCTGAGATCTTTATTAATTGCATAAATATATATTTGATAGGCATTTTAAAGCACTGCCTCTTGTTGTCCATAAGATGGCATCAAACCTTAAGTAAAGGGCTTTTAGTACAGATAAGAACCTTGAAGTCATTAACTGCTGTAAAGTTGTCCTGATATCTTGAATTATGACACCAATTACCCCTGATTTCATAAATTACCAACCAAGTCATTTTTAAAAAATGATTCTCCGGATTTATCAACTACTCCATATGCTAGGAATACAAGAAACTCTACTAAGCTGCATGAAAATGCTGCAACTCTTGATGTCTAGCAGCTTTGGAATGGAATAATAAAGCTCACAGGGTCTCATTAGGATGGCCTTTAAACAAGCTTGTCTCAGCAACGAGAAATCCTTTTTTTCTGTATTTGTAAAATATTTGTGAATTCACCAGACACATCAACTAATTGAATACATCACGACTCATAGTAACGGTATGTCTTAATAAACCTTGCGTATACAGCCACAAAGACATACCTGCAGTTTGACGAGGGTCCACAGAGATGCCTTGGAGATGATCCAAAGCAGGAGTACTAATTAATAGTGGACAGCAAACTTCAAATGAGCAAGATAAACAGAAACAAGAGAATTAGGGGTTGTGTCGCTGCCCTGAATGACGTCCAGAAGACTGACGATGGAGACAACACAGAGCAATATAAAAGACACTTGTTCTCCTCCTGGGAGATAAGAAGATCAGACCACTCCCGTTTACACCGGACAGAACATGATGTGGTACCACACCAACTTCCAGAAAACCACTGGAAAGGACGCAGGTAACAGGGTAAGAAAGCTCAGGCTTCCCGTTGCTCTTAAATTCTGTTTTTTTTAACCATTTTATCCATTTTTCATATTATATTATATTTATTATATTATATTTCATATAATATTAGACTTACGTCTATGAATATTTACAATTGAGTCTTTAAGTATAATACAAAATCCAATGTCCAAAGACATCCAAAGTTGCCTTATGCACCTCATGGATGAATGAACACAGTTTGATCTGAAGCCTGTGCCCTAAAATAACTGTTTTGACCATTTAATTGATCTGTTTGGGGGATAAATGTGGATCAAACTAGAGCAGTTTTAACCTTGAAGTCACAGTGATAAGTAATCAGGCTGTGATGGTGATGCCTTAATAGCACTACCTCATTTGATTTTCGGATTTATCATCTTTTTTTGTTATTTTTTTAAACAATTGCTGAATTTCATGACGGTATGATGTGCCTCATTGATATTCTTAATTAGCAATATTGAAGATATCTAAAAAACATCATACATTGTAAACATTTTCTGTCTCTTAATTCTCTGTCTAATGTTTGTAACACCTGGAAAAATTAAATGAAAAATAAAAAAAATACCTGCCGAGGTGTCATTAACCAACATTAGCATGATATATTACTGACCATGTACTTAAAACTAGTTTGATCCAAAAGCTATCCAGTTATTTTTTTCAACTTGAACTGATTCTTAGGCCAAAGCGCCATGTCCTAAAGCTGATCTCTTTGCTGGAGCAGAAGGCGATGGTGCTGGGCTTCATGCTGCTGCTGTCTCGGCTGGACTGTGATGCTCAGAGTGTTTCTGAGTGCTGCAGGCAGCCGGCCCGCTCCTGCCGGCTCCAGGTCCTGCTCTGCCGCACCGGCCACCAGGGCCCGGGGGGCACCCACACGGGGGACGCGTCTGCCGGGATCCTCACTCTGGGCAAACGGAACGAGGACGAGCAGCGCCTGGAGAGTCGCCTCCACCAGCTCCTTCACGGCTCCAGGAACCAGGCGGCGGGGATCCTGACGATGGGGAGGAGGAGCGGCGGGGGGGCGGGAGAGCCCTACGTGGACTGGCTGGCCCGGTCCAAAACCACCATGGTGACACCCTTACCTGTTTGAAACCGAGTCTGTTGGGACAATGTTAGGGAGAAGCCATGCTAAATCAAATATTGTTTTTTTTTCTCATGTGCAGAAAATTTTGTGGTTTTCTTATAAATTTGTGATGTCATTTTGGGAAAGATGTCCACTGTAATAAAGCCTGATAACATGTGTAAAGTCTTTCAACTGTGGGTTTTTCTAACTCTAATATAGATCAAGACTTCGATGACCATTTAAAATCTTACAGTTATGAATCTACTGTGATTCAGGCCACCAGAAAACTGATGCATTCATATGAAATATACAACTCATACTTCAAACAGAAGTGCTGTGAATAAACGTCATTAACAAACCCAAAATGTATTCTGTGTTTATGGCGCATGCACACTGAGTTCATGACTTTGTGCTTTACGTTTCTCAGGTAATTCTGAGCTGCAGCATCGATTGTGTGATATATATTTTAAATTTATAATATATTAACATGTAAAATATAAGTTTTCACCTGAACAAGTCTGTAATAAGCGTTGCTAATGTCCTTATCCCACAGATTAGCAATCCAGCCCAAGAACACAACTGTTAACTGTGTATGGCAGAGATGGACCTTTTCATTTATGCCTTTAAAAGAAAATAAAAAATTCTTGCAGAGCGAATCAAGGGTCATCTAAAGATGCGTACAGCCCATGATAAATTCAAAAGTATGGTTACGCACATCCACACAACCCTCGTCTATAATTTAGTTTCTAAAAAAGAATAATAGAAGGGAACTGGTTTGTTTTTGGGGAAACTGTTCGAGTGGATATTGCATTTTAAAGCTTGGAACTCATAATAGATTTATCACAAAGACATTACAGATGATAAGTTTTCAAGTTTAAGACAAAGTCCTCTCAGAGTCATCGATTCAGAGGGAGTTATTTCCAGGGTTGCATGTCCTCCACCTTTTTAAATTTCCATATCATAAAAAGAAGACTGCAAAGTAGTCTCCTCTTTTCCTGGTGTGTTGCAGTGTATCCACAGCAACCAGCTTCGTCTCAGTCTCTCAATATCACAGAATCCAGCTCTGCAACAGAGGCTGCTGGTGATTTTGTGTAAACACCCCAAGCAGCACGACAACATCTTCTTCGGTGAAAGATAACAGCGTACAGTGAGAAGGCAAGAACAAATAGAGAGACTAAGTCATATGTAACAACTTCTCTGGTGGGTGAAAAGAAGAAACACGCAGGCTTTGTGTGAGAGAAAGAAGACATCTTATGATTTCAGGGGGTGTGGAGAGAGAGGGCGGTTCAGGCCTTTGTACGAAACAGAGGGAGGGAGAGAGAGGCGGGGGACTCTGGGAGGCAGGACCTACAGAGAGTGGAGGGAGACTTTGCTTTGATGGGAGCACAATGATGCACGGCTCAACCTGACAACTTTCCTGTGCACAGAGAAAAGCTTCAGAGATTCTGCAAATACCTGAGTTATCTAACGAGGGAGAAAATATTTCTCTAAGTTTCTCAAAGAATCGACTCTGCATTTAAGCTCCATGTGACAGATCCTAAACCACACAGAATAGTTACAAGTCAATCCAAGAAGAGGCACTTTCATTCTCTGTCTGGTCCTCCTCTGGGAATGGTGACGATCTACTGGATTCTGACACTCACCTTTTAAAATCTTAGACAAAATGCCGGTGATGAAGGGTCTCCTCGCTCCTCAAAATACCTTCTTGGACAGCATTGCAACCCACTTTGATGGCACTCGTAAGTATTGTACTTTAAATAATTTCTGCTTTCGTCAGGATCAAAATATACAAAACGGTATAACACCAAAACTAGAAAAAGATGTCCGTGCTCGGTTGGGAAAAACTTGTTAGAGCGATGATGTGTGTTCTGTAACATGAAGCCAGGTATATGTAAAACAAGCATTTTCGTGTATGAAAATAGAATCTGAAATCGAACACTCAGACAGCGTTACTTTGCATGACTTTGTTTGGTTTTGCATTTGCAGTCTTTGTTTTGGCTGTGTTATGTACATAACATCAATTATCTTTTTGGTTTTGTTTAACTATTAATGCCTTAAAATCCTATATTTTCTTCTTATATGAACTCTATATGCTTTTAATTTGAATAGCGTTTTAATTGCATATATGTATATTATAGATGCATATATGTGTTTTTATATATATATACTGTATATATATATATGTGTGTGTGTGTGTGTCTGTGTACACTGTGTAGCATCCCTGCAGTCAAACACGCAACCTTTAACGAAATCTTCCATTTTGCTTTCAAGATATAAAAGCAAGTTTGATGTGACCTTGATTTTTGTGTCTACAGGCTGGATTCGGTCTGAATGACTGTGCTGACACAAACACTGAAACGACTAGGGAGCAGAAGAGGTTTCATGCTTAGATAAAACTATTTATATTCAAATGTATATTAAAAAGTAAAATAACGTGCACATGAGCTAATAATCATTTCACAACATAGTAATTGCAATGGAGGGATTTAAACAATGTCCCTATCTGAAATTATTATTATCATTATTATTACAGAATACAGAATAACGGCCATAAGTGACCTAAATGCTTTAAACATGTAGATTTCTTGTATGATGTTCAGAGGTATTCTCTCATTAGGATCTTCTTTCCTTTGTGAGTATGTTGCTTTTAATTTAAAGTCCAGATCTGTCCATCTGCAGCCAATCTCAGATTGAACCCAGAACATTAACAGCCTTAAGATTACTCCTCTCAGAACATGCTGAAAATAGTGTTTGGGTGTGACCGTGTTTGTCTTTTTCTATCTAACATCTTCACAATTTTTGTCCCAATGACAATTTCACACCCCATCACGTTTCCAGGTTGTCTTGGCCTTGCTTGTCTGCTCACGTGCAGAAATATATGGAAGTTCATTTAGACACAAGTAAGCAGCATCCATTTTCTGAATCTCACATGGTATTTCTCATCAAGCCAGCTGAGAAGAGACAATTTTCCACACACAACGTGAATGCGTCTGATAACTCTCGACTGGAAGGAAGTCCTTGCAATGTAAAGTTGTCTTTTAAAGTCACACTTTGAATGGGAATGAAAGAGCTATCCACATGATCCTGATATGAAAGCTGAGACACTGATTAAAATTAATTATGCAAAGCCAACAAGCATATCAAATATCAACTGAAGTCTTGCTCCGTCAACCTTTTCGAAAGCAGGAAAATTACTTAAATTATTCATTATTACCTTATTACAGGTCACTTCAAAATACAAACATAAACTACACACAGAAAAATAGCCCACTTTCAGTGCAATTACATCTCTTTCCATCTCTCTCTAACTAACTTTCTACGGCAATTTTGGAAATCACGTCTTTTTCCCTGCTCAAGTGCTCAATAACTATAATTCTCCTTGAGTGAACGGAAATTGAGCAACAGGAATGGTGAAGAAAGGCAGAGGGGGAGGCAGGTTTGGTCTCAGGGTCGTGACAAATGGTGAAAAGGATTACGTTTTTTCTTCATGAAGATTACGGCTGAGATGGGATTCTGACTGATGTGCATCAACTCTGATGGAGTTTGAAGGCTGGTTAGAGAAGACTTTTCTTTTTTACAGAAGACGCTGATGAGGGTTCTGTCACACAGCACCACTAAGGGAGGATTAATGAGTAGAAGAAATGACATCCAGAGATGTGTGGATGTTTTCTACCTGAGGTGAAAACGGTTCACAAGACGCCAAATTAAAATTTTCTCACAATTGTGTTGCCACGGCAATGAGTGATATAAAAGAAACATTACACTGCTTCGATTCACATCTCTTTGGTTACCATGTGATCTGTTAAGATTGATTAAGCATATGTTAAGCTATAATGGCTGCATAGTAATAGACACAATTTGACTTACTATGATCACCTTTTGCTCAGATATTACCCATAAAAGCACACATGGTTTCTGCATCTTCTCTTTGCTTTAGGGAGAATATAAAGCACGCCCCCCCACCTTCCAGGTGCTCGGTGTACTTATATCATTATGAAAATGTTTGCAATACAGTCAAACAAAGCACCTTTTCAAATCAGGATTATGAACATTGGAGCAGCTATTTGCAGAGCAGATGTAAGAGGACGCTTTTGCGTACTGTTTGTTTTTATATTGAACATTTGGACAACGGAAAGTAGACCTGAAATAACAGGTGGATGATGAAATCGTATGTTTGTTGTCCCTCCACTCAGTAGATCAGTGCTTATGTGGCGCTGAATAAATTAGACAGCTTTCTTTCGCTTTAGCAGCTGTCTGCAGAGCTGATATTCCTCACACGACCCGCGGTGGGAAGCTATTCTTAGTGCCGTGAACATTAATGTGCTGTGTTGAGTGATAATTCTCAAGATTCTGGCATCATGACATTCTATTAGTACATAAACAGACATAGTGTTTATTTCTACATTTTTTAGGGTACTTTGTGCTACCATCCTCCAGGTCAATGTGTACATTCAGTTTGAATTTTACACAAAAGACTCAACACAGTCTCGTTGTCTGATAAGGATTTTTCATATGATTTCAGGCTTGTTTGGAATAAATGTTGTGAAAAAAAAACTAAAACAAAAAAACATAAAACTAGAATTTAATTGTCAGCTGAAAAAAGTTGCTTTCTAGGACATTCACACTGTTGCCCGCCCACCTACAGCATCTTAGTTTACTAGTTTGTTTTCTATGTTAAAAGAACATTTAGATCTCTAAAACCTGTCCAAGCTTTCCTCATACAGTAATTGTAGATTTTTGCTGAAAGCAATCACACTTTATGTTTTCCCATGAAGACAAATAAGAGCTTAACCAATAGTCTGAGGAAAGGGGAAGATCAAAGAATTAAATTAATTAAATGAACATTATTTGACACACTGTTGTGTGCTGTGAAGCATTGTGGCTCTCGAAGTCGTACAAAGCTTCACCAAAATGGCCAAATATTTAAATAGTAGGAAGCTTTTGGTCTGAAACAGATTAAATGTTGGGTTTGTTGTTATCTGGACCACCCCTACTGTCACTCTGAACTCACGTGTATTCAATAATCGACAAATTCTCAAATTTGTCCCTGAGGGAAACAGATAGAACGATCGTTAGTGGAGGAAAAACGTTTTCTGCTTCTGACTCAATGGATGCTTGTTAAGAGGTGTTACTTTTCTTTCAGGCCCCCAATTTTTCCAGTTATTGCCTATTGTTCTGTCAGTTCTTTCTGTTCAGCTCACTTCTCTGCGTTTGGTCTTACATTTTCCTCACAGACAGTAACTTTCTGTTGGGAAGTGCTCAGGGTTGCTATGGCTACCCTACTGTCTACTGCTCTGATGGCTTCTGTGAGCTGACTGGATTTATTCGGACTGAGGTGATGCAGAAAACCTGCACCTGTAGATTCCTTCACGGGGCTGAGACCAGTGACAGCGTCATCCAGCGGGTGTTTAAAGCTCTGGAAGGCCAACAGGAGTACCAGGGGGAGGTCTGCTTTTATAAGAAAAATGGTGAGAACAATGTGGTCTCTTTGACTCTTTAACTGTGATCTGTTTTGATTTTGAGTGATAAAGCATTTAAATGATAAGAAATGGTATGTGTGACATATAAGTTAAATATTTCTCGGGTATTGAAAGTGATTAAGCATTTTAGCTATAAAAAAACAGCCTCTCAGCAATATTTTTGGTGTAATCTTTCGCTTCTTTGATACAATTAGGAAAACAGTTCTGGTGCCTTCTGGATATTGTCCCGATTAAAAACGAGAAAGGTGAGGTTGTGCTGTTCCTGTTATCCTTCAAAGATGTCAGTGAATCTTATGGGAGAAACCCTCACTACCCCTCAGGAGATGGTATGAAAATACATTTATATATACATATACACACATATACACATATAATTCATTAATAATTTTTTTACATTAACCTGGTGGGTTTTGTCATTTTGTACAAAGGTTTGTCAGAAGTCGCAAACGAAAGCGGAAAAAGCAACCAATCGCACTTCTCCCAAATTCAAGACAGGGGGAGGTCAATCCTGAACTACCTGAACAATCTGTTCACCAAAAGGGGCAAGAAGAAACTGACTGACGTGAGTGTAAACTTTATATATATGATCATCGAGGCTGGGAGGTTTTTATAATCAATGTTCAAACAGATAAATGCATTTTCACTCCTAACAACAAGCAAATTTAGTATCATTCTCTATGTAAATGCACATGACATTTTAATCAAAGCTTATCACAGTTATGGTAATCATGAGGCAATGCATTTGCTATGGATCTTTCAGAGGGAGGTGGCAGACGCTGAATAATATATGTGATTATTTAATTTTCACATACCCGAGGCCTTGATTGTCTTGTGATATTTTCAGAGTATGTTCCAGAGACCTTCCCTGCCTGAGTACAAAGTGGCGGCCGTGAAGAAGTCGCGTTTCATCCTGCTCCACTACAGCGTCTCCAAGGCCATGTGGGACTGGCTGATTCTGCTGGCTACCTTCTACGTAGCGGTCACTGTGCCTTTCAACGTGTGCTTTGTCAGCCACAGTGAGGGCAGTGATGAGCACTCGCTGGTCAGTCGCAGCACCATCGGCAGTGACATCGCAGTAGAGATGCTCTTCATGCTCGGTATGATCGATTCAGATTCCATTCAAATACTTGAAATCTATCTCATCTTTGTGGGGTCCTTTGGGTGAATGAATAAGCACAAAAATATCACCTTTCAGACATTTGCACAGACTCTCAGCATCTTCAGTGAATATATTTCCTTCAATGGCATTTTTCTAGTTAATCTGAATGCAGCATGATGATTGGTGGCTTTTTGCCAATTAATTTGGCAAAAGTACAGTGAAAATATCTCACACACCAGTACTCTGTTGTGTTGAGCTGTTTTATGTTGTTTTGAGACAACAATAGTAAGCTTAAATTAGGACCTACTGTATCTCCCTGTGCAGCTGTTTCCTTGGCGATGCCTAACACATCACCTCCTCTGAAGGTTCGTCGCCCACTCAGGGTTTCTGTGTTGCCCAAGGCTATGAATCATAATTAGATTTCTCTCACTTTGTCCCAATTTTCCTCCTGCAAAAGAGTCATTAAACATCTCTCCCACAACTTCCTGTCTCACAACAACTTTGTCCTGGGACACTATAGCAGGTTGCAGTGCCTTCTCATGGAGTTGAGTGCAAAAGGCTTGGTTTTTTATAGATTTTCTTTCTGTTTGTGATAGTGTTTCTTCTATTGTTTTCAGATATTATTCTTAATTTCCGTACCACATATGTGAGTCAGTCAGGCCAGGTGGTTTATGACGCCCGGTCGATCTACCTACATTACTGCGCCACCTGGTTCTTTGTGGATCTTATCGCAGCTTTGCCTTTTGATCTACTCTACGCGTTCAACATCACAGTGGTAAGTCTGTCAAGTCAACTTCTTCATCTCCTTCTAATTAATATATTTAGCATCTGGAGTTCAGTACAAATGGGCAGACATGGAACAAAGACTAAGATTTTATTCCAGACATTTAATCTAGGGTATGATAAATCATAGGTAAAATTAAAAGAGAACAGGACAACTTGTATTAATGCGTTTTTGTGATTATGCTTTTTTAAATAAAGCTGTAATTTGGATGATGAATGTTGGTGTGAAGGTTTCATATTCTGTTTTCTCACTCCCTGTCCAGACCTCACTGGTGCACCTGCTGAAGACGGTGCGACTGCTCCGTTTGCTGCGCCTTTTGCATAAACTTGACCGTTACTCCCAGTACAGCGCTGTGGTTCTCACTCTGCTCATGCTGGTGTTTGCTCTGCTGGCTCACTGGATGGCTTGCATCTGGTACGTCATTGGACGCAAGGAGATAGAAAGCAGCGACCCCATTACTTGGGAAATTGGTGAGTTCAGTGCATTTGTCTTTTCCACAGCTCCCATACCATTTAATCCAGGCTGCAATGCCCTCATTAGCTTTTCAGAGACAGGTTTAATGTTTTTTTCCTGGCTACACAACTGAAGCCATGCTGGAATGTATGAATCTCTCAGCATGATTTTAATCTTCTGAGAATATAAGAGGTCCAGGTCAAAGAATCAGTCTTTTTTATCAACAGAAATATATTTTGCATCTGTTAAATCACCCATTCCATCACTTAGCAAAACTAGAGTGGTCTCCCATTGAAGGAGACAAAATAATTTCAATAGAAAAGTGATGACACTGATGTTTGGTCATCTAAAAACTTTGCAATGATCTCATACAACCAGCATCTCACTTCATCCACCAGGCTGGCTGCAAGAGTTGGGCAAACGTCTGGAATCGCCGTACATCAACAGCACCATGGGGGGTCCGTCCATGCCCAGCGCCTACGTTGCTTCTCTCTACTTCACTCTCAGCAGCCTGACCAGCGTCGGTTTTGGTAATGTGTGCGCCAACACCGACGCAGAGAAGATCTTCTCCATCTGCATCATGCTCATAGGTGGTGAGTATCAAAGCAGTCACAGAAGCGTCTGCGTGCCATGAGGAAGTTTGAATGATCATAGCGTTGCCCCCTTTTGCTACCTGCAGCCCTGATGCATGCGGTAGTCTTTGGCAACGTCACCGCCATCATCCAGCGTATGTACTCCCGGCGGTCACTCTACCACACCCGCATGAAGGACCTCAAAGACTTCATCCGTGTGCATCGCCTCCCTCAGCAGCTCAAGCAGAGAATGCTGGAGAATTTTCAGGCCACCTGGTCTGTCAACAATGGCATCAATGCCAATGAAGTGAGTGAAGGGATCTCAAATGTGTTGTTGTCTCCTTAAAAAAACATTATATATATTCATAAATGTATATCCACACATATAACCATTATAATAGGTTTTAATATATGCAAAAAATATGGGCTGATGACTCGCTTTTCAAAAGTAACCTTACATCCAGTGTCTTTGTTTCTGAATGTGGGACGTCTCAAATTCTCTGGAGTCCTATTCCATTTCTTTAAGTAGCGAATAGAATTTCAATGACAATGTCAGAGAGTATCTTCAAGTAGTTCCTCATAATTACAAGGTTAGGAGCTGAAATAGAGAGAATACTCATTAACACCCTCACCATTACCTCCGCAGATAATTAATTCACCAGAGGTAACAGACGCAGCCTCTGGTTTCTGTGAACATGCTGTTTTTACTGATCAGTTTCACACATCGTGCCAGTGCTTTAACTTTGAAAACCAGCATGTGTGCATTTAAGCAGGGACTGAAAATATCTTTATGTTTTAAGCGTCATCCAGTGGTTTCTCATTTGCAGAGAGCCTTAAAACAGCAGCCTCTCCGCTTTAATTCCAGCTGAGACCAAGTTGACTTACACCCCTTTCACCTCTTCAAACACATCTTCACAGGACTATCTGTGTGTTTAGTTTACAATATTCAAAGACCTCTGCTGGCTTTAAAAAACCATGCCGGCAATGTGCCGCCTGGAATGTCGAAACAATATTCCAGGAATAAATCCTCCTCAGACAAAATGCTGATTTGCATCCTGGGACGCGTTCTTGCATGAACATTTGACAACCAAATGTTGTTGTTTTTTTTTCTCCTCCTACCTTCCCAGCTGCTGCACGACTTTCCGGATGAGCTGCGGGCAGACATTGCCATGCATCTGAACAAAGATATCCTGCAGCTGCCTGTGTTTGAAACATCGAGCAGAGGGTGTCTGCGTTCCCTCTCGCTGCACATAAAGACATCGTTTTGCGCACCTGGGGAATACCTTATCCGCCAAGGAGATGCCCTACAAGCTAATTATTTTGTATGTTCGGGTTCCCTGGAGGTTCTGAAAGATGGTATGGTCCTTGCTATTCTAGGTGAGTGCGACTCGTCTCTAACCAGTGAATCCAGTCTGCATCTTTTAACATCTCACTGTGACTCATTTGTCTGACAATCCCAACAGGCAAAGGGGATCTCATTGGGGCCGATCTACCAGAACATGACCAGGTGATCAAGACAAATGCAGACGTGAAGGCACTCACCTACTGTGACTTGCAGTACATCAGCGTCAAGGCACTGAGAGAGGTTCTTGGGCTATACCCAGAGTATGGAAGCAGGTTCAGCTCTGACATCCATCACAACCTCACCTACAACTTGAGGGAAGGCAGCGAGGCTGATGTAAGACATCTAACTTGGATGTTCTGAAAAGAACTTCGGAAAGGGTTGAAAAGTTCTTCCTTATTGAGCTGAGACATGAATTTACAATATATACCAAAATACAAACCACCGAATAAAGGATATGTGTACAATGCATAATCAAAACTTACTTTTTTATTTCTTCAGGGAGTAAGAAAATTCCCTGGGACACCAAGATACTCTCAGGTATGTGTTTATCTCACAGGAATAATTACCCCAGGCCTGATGTTCTTACAGTATATATGTTGCAATGATTTCTCACCTAAAGTATTAAAATCTATTTGAATTTTTTGTGTAACAGTGTAAAATAAAATTAATGCAAAGAGATCCTTGAAACTGTCTACACAAGACAAAAATCAACCAATGGAGAGGTATTATAGGATAAAAAGAAAATTCCCAATAGAACATTGTAGTTAAACAACACAAATTCACCTTTTCAATGGTTTCTGTGTAATGGCTGTTCAGCGTGCAGTCACAAGTAAAAACTGTTCCCTCAAAATAAGATGCGTTACCAAATTACTGATACACCTAATGGTATGATTTTGCTTTTTTAAATTGCTATAATTTTATTATAGGCAGTGCACAGACAAAGAAAGAAAAAACAATCACACATGCATCCTTTCAACCAGTTTTACCCAAATTTCCAATTGTTTTTTTCTAGAGTCATGTCTCTGGAGACCACAACCTTCCCTACATCATTGAAACAAACGATGCTGAAAACATGGACAACATAAAATACTCCCAGGAGAGAGGAGGGCCTCTGATTCAAGGTTCAGGCAGCCCCTTCCATCAGCCCCGCCTCAGGACCTTAGGAGAGGGGGTTCAGCACACCAAGGCTGTCCACCTCTGTCGATCACCTACTCAGGGAGGTAGAGGGAGCAGCCCCTGTTCTCAGCCTTTCATCAATGAAGACTTCAACCCTTCTCCTTTGCTTAATCTAAGTGACGACCCAGACTTTAACCATCTGCCAGCCAAATTGCTCATTCCATCTTTGCCTTGTGTTAGCCCTCTAACCCTGAGTCCCAGGTACACATTGCCCCCTACATTTGGATCTATATGTTTTTTGTTCCCATTAAACGGTTTGTAACATCCATTTGCCTCCTGTTAGGGTCGTGGATGGAATTGAAGACAATGGTCACACTTTTCAATTCAATGTAGAACAATGCGAAAGGAGGACTAATATCCCAGGTAAACACATTTAACTACATTTGGAGAGGGAAAAGATCAAGTTAAATGTTTTACTATCAGCAGCTTGAATGGGCAGGCAAATGTCAGCTGTAATGCAAATTAATACACATGAGTTGAAAGTGGTAATTTGCCTTTCTTAACCTTTTTCAGACCACACACAGTTGAACGCTAATCTACTTTTTGAGACAGAGGAAGTAAGACAAAATGTCAGCAAACTGAACAAAGAGGTATGGTGAAAACTAAAGATCTACATCTAAAGAAATGCAGTTTTTTATCAATGTGCATTTCAAAATGTTAGTATTTAGTTGTTAAATCGTGAGCATGCTCGACTTTAACATTACCCAGTTCTTTTTACAGATTGTATGTAAAGAATGGCATCGATGTGTAGGGTGGTTTGTAAGAAATTGAAATCTTTAAAAAAGATTTGAACATACATGCAGCTAAGTTGAATATTTCCTTCCTCTTAGGTGACAGGTTTGAATGAAGAGGTGTCCAACCTGGCTAAGGAGCTCCACGAATTTATGCACTTCTTGGACTCTCACATGACCATGCTCCACCTTACCAATCCTGATGTGAGACATTCTTACTGCTGGCACCCAAATGTCCAGTTAAATCCTTCAGCTGAATTGCACCTCCATCATGAAAGCATTAGTCACCCTGCAAGAAATGCATGGAGCTTCACTGGAGCACCTGCGTCCAGCACAAATCCTACCTTGCTGCACTCTTCAAGCTCTGGGTCAACGCACATGTGCTGCTCTGACAAAGAGGAAAACACGCCTCATAGGTTACAAAGCCAGTACGGCTCCTTTCAAACTCCAAGAGCAACTCCAAGTTCCCCTTACATCTCCCACCCTCACACTCAGGCAGGGCCATCCCTCCTGAGCATTAGTTCAGCCTTTGGGAGCTACCCGGTTATTTGTCAAGCCCCTCAGGTGGTCTATAATGCACCCATACCCACAAAACACAGTTCTCCTTCCCCATGCTCCACGGTAAGTTGTGCTCACTGTCATCAAACATTCGGTTTTCAAAACCCTTTTGATGTCACACTAAACCGGAGCAGGTCCCAGACCCCTGTACATTCCACCACCACCCCCACTGGCCAGTCACAGTGTCACACAGCCATCAGTTCACTGGTATCTTCAGAAACCGCCGATCCGATGTACACAGGCCACTATCAGGATGAACAAAGCTTCACCGGTGGCCTCGAACAAAATGACCACACAGGATCCATTCCGGACGCACCTGATTCTGAATTATTTCTGCTGGAGCGGGTATCGAACAGAAAATGTGAAGGTTCGCATCACAACAAGAGAACAGACCAAACTGACTCACATGTTCCAAGGGACAGTAATCTAGAGATGGAGGAAAATCTATGCTGATGACGTAATTATTAATGCGTTACTGTGTAATAACAAGTTTGTTGCTTTAAAAAAGTGTTGTGTAAAGTTCCAGGATAAGACTTTGCTTTTAATGCATGAACAGTCAGAGAAACTCTGCTGCCACAGATCAATAATTGTGCAAAGAGCTGCCTTTGTAAATGTATTGTAATAATACACATTTGTCCTAACAAACTTTGGTGGTTTTAAACTGTTTGACCACAACTGTACTAACTCATTGGCTCTGTACAGCAGTTATTTGAAAGTTATTAATGATGCATTCATTACCAATGAGGCCAATTTATTTACATTTTCAGTGCTCTTTTTCAGTGCGTTTGGAGGTAAATAGCATCACCTAGTGTTGACAAAGAGACTCTTCATGACTATGGTCACTGTGGTCAAGAGACCAACACGTGCTGTGTCGAGATGCTTAATCATCTACTTCATTGCAAACCTCTGACAGTAAATTATTTTCGTACTCACTCATGGTTGGATCCTCTCAGAGGTTTTGATCTTTTTCAGCCCCATAAAGTTTAGAATGAATGTTAAGTGTCCGCATATTGATTACGTTGACATTAAGCTACTTAATATTCATACGATGGACTCGTCTTTATAATTTGAAGAGGACACATAAGAGGATATAAGCTCATGAAAAATGCACAGCTGAGTAAGTGACTTTTATAGGCTGCTGTTATCATTGGTCAAACAACACTGACAAAAAGTGGGAGGTTCCCGGAAAAAATGCTAACCGGAAGGGAAGGCCATAGCCCAAGAAGAAGAAGAAGACAGCCACTGCCGATGAGACCAGCGAAAGAGGAAAAAGTCATGTAAGTCAATCAACTTGATATTGTTTCATACGGAAGGGAAGAGTAACTTTCAATGCGTCGTGGAGCTTTTGTCAAAAAGCTGTTAACCCCTGTGTGGTCTGTTTTTGTACCACGGACGAGCCCGGTCGGCTTCAGCCTACAAATGCCCATTAGACTGTCTGTGGTGAGACTCGTCTGTCGCCCAGGGAGATGACATATTAAACAACTATTTGTAAAAACCGTACCACAGGAGATGTCGCGAACCATATGACGTCGTGTTGTGCCGGCCGCGGTCGGTGCAACGAGACCCCCGGGTTTCTCAAATGTCCAACAGCGGACGACGAGCGACCGAGAAAAGGAAAGTTGCCTAATGACGTTTTTGACGCTATGCTATGGTGGCTAACACAGCTAACGCTAGCAGAAGTCAAGTTTACCTTTCAGTGGCGCAGCTCGACTTTTTGTGTTTGTTTCAAGCCAGCCAGCTGGTGCTAATGCTAGGTGAGCAATATGGTTAACAGTTGGCGTTTGGCTCATTTTGTCAGCGAGCTGTTTGGTGCAACTTATACGTTTGTCATTAACGTTTAGGACATTATGTGTTAATAATAATACGCCGTTGTGCCGTATTTCCAATAGCACTAATTAAGTTCCTAGTCAATTATTTTTGTTTAACACCAAGCCTGTCCACTTTTTCAGGGATGAGGGTTAGCTCCTCTGCTAAAGCTGGCCAGAAGGATATTTTCAGTCAACCCTTCACTATATGGCAGTCATTGTAACGTGTATAATAGGTGCTAACATCATGTGGTTTAAACGAAACAACCATCCTTTCTTGCAGCCGGTTAAGGACTTCATAATCGGTTTTATTTTTAAGACTTATGTTCATAAAGCTAGCCAAATATGCATTTACATGTTTTCAAAAGAGAGATCCTATTATGGAAATCTTTGCCAACCTTTTTAATAGTTTTGTAATGGTTTTTTATGACATCGCTTTTTTTGTTTTGTTTTTTTTCTTCTTCCCCAGAACTGTACCTTGAAGCTTTTTCTGGTGGGTTTCAGGTCCTCAGTTCCAGGCCAGTCAGTGCCCACACGCTAACTTTCAGTAATGCTGTCATATTTTAAAGGGATCAATTCTGCAAATTCACATTGTTGGGGTTATATGACAATTTAATAGCTAATATTCTTACATGCCTCTACCTGCGTAGTTCCTGTTTATGGCTTAATAAGGGCAACAGAGGTTGGACCTTTGAGACAGATTTACAGTTGCTGGTACTTGCTTGGTACTTGCTCTTCTGTTTATGGCGTATGGACCTTGTCCTCATATGTAGCCTAACTACCTTAACAAACCAGGTCTGACGATAGAAGGCCTTGTGTTTTTTTTTTGTTTTTTTATCCCCTACAATTATAACATTTCTGCTTAGGGTCTAACATTCTTGTTAATTTATGTTTCTGCTGTATTTTGTTAGCCATGGCTTCTAAATTAATAGCAAATGTTTTTTTCCTAATGTCCGTAACATTTCAGCTACAGAATATGAGAAATTTCTGAACTTCTTAGCCATGTTTATGCTTTTAATTTGTCAGTGGGTGGTTATATTCTTCATTTTTACGTGGCATTTGGGCTTATGGCCACACATGACGCTGGTTTTGGTCGCTTAGCCTTTTACACAGAAATCTGAAGAAAAGGAAGTGCCAGTGATTTCCTCCTGACCTTGACAAATGATTGTGATGAGTATCCTGTTTGTTTATCCGGCATTATGTCACCACTTTCCTATTTGAAGTGTTCCTTTCACTGTATTTTTGAAAAACTAGAAACTAAAACTTAAAAAGCACCTTGGACCAAGAAGGTGTTCTGTAATATATATATTTTTCTTCTGTTTTTGTCAACATGAGTAAAATGCCCTTGGAATCATACTTCTTAATTTGATTTCAAACATTTGGCAGAACAAGCGGAACTGTTGAATAGGGATACAGTCTTCCATTATCAGATACTGCCAGTTGTTCTTGGACCCCACCCTTTAGATTAAGTGAACTGCATGTCTCTGCTTGCTTTCTCCAAACTGGTTTAGCGACATCAGGCTGTTGGACTACTTCTTAACTCATTAATACCTAATGCGTCCTCTAAACATACATGAAATCATGTTGGCATCAATTTTGTGATTGTAGTTATCTATTAGTCATGAGATTTACATTAAGCTGTTAAAGCATAAGCAATGAAAATTATTACCAGGTCAGACACCCTAAAATCTCTATATTGTTATCGTTTGTTTAGACTCCACGAACTCCTCGAACTGCAGTGATATATATCCACACGTACACCACCGTATTATAGCTTTATGACAGTTTCCTTCAATGTACAAGCAATGATGTGTTAATTTATACTGAGTGACAAAAATATCGGTCTTAATAAAGCAGAAAAATCTGTTATCATGTATGTTTTTCATATTTTTACACACTTCATGTCAGTGTTGAATGTAGTAATACTTTCTGGCTTGTTGGGTATGAATCAATGAAATATTGTTTTTTAGCACATTTTGTGTATAAGACAAATCAAATTGCTTTACATAAAAGACAATGCATTAAAACGTATGCGTTTAAAAGCGGAAAATTAAGAATGAGTCAATCAAAAATAAAACAATTGAAAAAAATCATGAATTAAAAAGATTTAAATGTGTAGAGTGCAAAAAGAAGAAGCAGGCTGCAGAGTATACAGGAAGCAGTAATGAATATTTTACAGGGTCTCCTGCCTGCCCCTCTTTTCTGTTATTGCTCCTCCCTTTTCTTCTGACCCATGCCCCCCTGTCTCTCTGACCCACTTCCTTGCGGAGGTTTTGAGAGCCCATTAGGGATGGTGTCAAAGCATCTGTTGTGGGCTACTTAAGATGTGTGAAGCAGGTCCGTCTCACTGTGAGAAACATTCTCTGACTGTGAGTCAATCTACTATTTCAGCCATTTACATCCTGTACAGTTGCATCGATTTTGTAGTCGTGGCGCTCAGTGGTTTCTCTGCAATTTTTTAGACAGGTATTTTGTGAAGGATTTTATGCAGGATTCAGTCGCCCATTGTGACAGCAATCTAAATCTTTCAGAAGGATGTGGAATATGCTTTCTGGAGCCCTTTTAGATCCTTTCACTTGATAGTTCCTACCAAACAGTATTTTCTTATTTAGCTGAAGCACAGTTGAGAATCTATTGTAACATACACAGTTTTATATGAATCCTGTAAGTTCTGAAACTTTTTTTTTTTTTTTTTTTACATGTCTTCTTGTTTTCATGAGGAAAACAAACGGGTGAATTTGGCTCAGCTGCTTGCTGTCAGATGTCAGATAGAGTACAGGGTGACTGTGGTTTACCGAAGTGAACAGACTGCATTCATTCCTCGTCATTTTTGTAGTCTCATGAGTTTGAGACCAGCTGTCTGTTACTCTGTGGTAACTCAAGAGCCCAATAAGTGCAGTGTTTGTGGGGGTGGGGGGCAGTTCTGCTTCTTGCTTATGAAGTTTTCCTTGAAATTTTCATAAAAAGATTTGTAAGCATACTAAAGATCATCTGATGAATTTTTCCAATTAAATGTGTGTAGCATTTGTGTGTTTTAAATAGTTATTCAGTCACAAAGTGAAGATTAAACCCAACTGTTGGTTGAGAAAAATCTCTCGTACTGTCCTGATGTCTTTCCTTCAGTTTTTCTTGTTCCTGACTTTTTCAGCCTTCTCTGAAGTTGTGCAGGTCTCCAGTACTTATTGGGGTTCAGCATTAAGCTGTCCCTTTGACAGGGCTGTACATTTTTCTGCACTGCAATCTTCACTTCCTGCTTTGAGCTGAGTCATTTCCTGTCCTTTGACCAAGCAGAAACCGGCTGACCTTATGTGTGTCACCAAACCAAGAAAAGGTTTAGGCAAGGTTTTGGAGACTGAACCAGCTGAAGTGTGGAGAACAAATGACCAGGGCCGTGGTATTCTGGAAGCAAACAAAACTTCCTGCTGTCAAGTATCTGCATTTTTTTTTCATGATATAGTGCTTCTAAATCTTCAGAAAATGAAACATGACCCCTTAAAGTTGCAGCTGGTTCATTTTCACTTGTGGTTTACATTCATCAGAAGTGAATTAATTTCAGCTTGCCCCCTGATGGAAACAACCACAAAGATATTATCTATAAGTTGAGAGATGAGTCAAACGTGCTTCTGCTTAAATGTGTTGGGGGCCCAAACATGATGGGGATTTTCCGTGTCTGACCAGGAGAACTGATGCACGGCCTTCCTTTTGTCGCTTTATAATCAAACATTGCATCATTTTTATTTAGATTAAATCTTGTTCATGTTTATTCTGCATCCACTTCGTCATTCCTGTTCCGTCTCCATGTGCAGTTTGAAAAGAACAAGGAAGGGAAGGGGTTGATAGAAGGAAGTGAGCGATAAAAATTGCTAGTGATTAGTTTGAGAGAAGACAGATCAGAGAGGAGAGTCTGGGGTGCTCCACCTGTGGGGGTGGCACCACCAGATTATCTTCCTTTGAGAATTAAAGTTAACTCAATTCTGTATGTGAGCATTCAGGTGGGAGCAGACCTAAAGATGACTGGGCGAGCATCAATGATTTCTGTTTGATTTATATGTATCCAATATAAAGGAATAGCAGTGAACTGGTGGTTTTCATCCTTTAGGGTCTTGGTTGTTTTTTTGACCACAGCTGACTTTGGGGGATTGTTAGTGCCTCTAGATCTTTCTTTTGAACATCCTTGTACCGGGTAATGTGTTTCTATACCATTTACCTTTTATCTATCAGGTTTTCACATGTTTCTTGACGTCACAGCTTTGTCTTTATCCTAAACAATGGCATGACACCTCACATAAATGCGTCTGTAATTATATTAGATGACTAAATTCACACACAAGTGGGCTCTAGTTTATTTTTAGATTCACTTTCGTGATGATGTGAAAGACGCACCAAAGCTCTTTGTTCTGAAAATAGAATACTGCTGTTATTTATTTCAAGAAAGTGATCATCTACTTCTGAGCTGTTCACTGCATAGCCTCACGCTTGCCCTTTTTTTCTTTATTGGCATTTGAAACATCCAGCTTTCTGCTGTGTGTTCTCCGCCATGTGCATGCCAGCCCGGTTGACGGCTCATGTTAAGCAGAGCCTGTGGGAGCAAAAGGGTAGACACCGTTTCCATTCAGGCACTAAGTGTTCTCCTCCAGCACTTGTTTATACTAAACAAAGTTAAAGAATTAAGTCTTTACCTCAGTGTGATGCAATTTCTGTGTTGTGCTTTGGATAACATTTCAGAGTCAAAACAAAGGCTTGAACGCTGACAGTTTTTACACCTACAGTGTTCACTAAATTTATCCTACTTAATATCATTAATAGCTGCAGCCGCAGTATCAGTAATACTAGTAGTATTATCAGCAGTTACTGAGAGCTTTTCTGTTTTGATGGGGATGTTTTTTTTTGTTTTTTAATCATTTGATCCACAGATTTGGTTGTTTTAATTGCCTTTTTTTCTATTTGGAGGAAGGTTTACCAGAATGTGCTGTGTGTGTGTTCCAGCTCCCTCTGGTGAGGCCTCTTCTTCCCCCGCCACATCTACCTGCCCGACCCAAACTTACTCCAGCCTAACGCAGCTTTAATCCGCCTTCTGCACGGAGCCCAAGACTCTCGCCTCAGAAACACTTCCACTTCGTTTCACCGTTTTCGGGACAGCAATATGGCAGGGCGCGGCGGACCGGCACGGACCAACGGCACTGCGGCGAGCAACAAGATCTGTCAGTTTAAGCTGGTGCTGTTGGGAGAATCGGCCGTGGGAAAGTCCAGCCTGGTGCTGCGCTTTGTCAAAGGCCAGTTCCACGAGTTCCAAGAGAGCACTATTGGAGGTAAGAACTTCATCTTTCTTTCTGCTCTGTGTTTTTATTTAGGGGGGCATCACAGCCACATCTGTGTGTGTGCGTGAAAATAACACTGCACACTGTGTGTGTAATCTAGCAGTTGGTGTACTAGAACCATCAAAATACTGGCTATGATGCAAAATATCATCACCAGAGACATAGTTCAAGATAATGTTGCTGGACAGTGTGGTCCAGTGCATTGTCATCAACCAATCATAGGGTTTTTACAAATTTACCACAGATACAGCACCGGTCGAAGTGTGGAGGCACCTTTTAAAAGTTTTTGGTGGGGTTAAACCCTTTTGACTGACGTGTACATACACATAAAGCAGAAAAGGAAAAGAAAAAAGTGCCCCTGGCAGCACAGAGAAGCCGTTCGTTGGCAGGTCTTAATCTTTTCTGTTGTCAGGTTGTGCAGGCTGAGTGGAATAACTCGTTCTGTGCAGTAGCAGGGACCAACGCCAAACTCCACACCGAGCATAAACACCTACAGTTTAAAGGGAAATCATCAAATCACATCTAATATTTTGAGGCAAATGGACAGAAATCGGTGACGTTTTGGGTGATTTCCTGGACCTCCTGCTGCTCATCATTATAAAAAGATATTTTAGTTCCAGAGCGGCAAAAATGAGCTCTCCGTGTTTGCATAAATGTGGACCAAAGTCAGTTGGTTGCTGTACGATAAAGCAGCTTCAGTCTGAGGATAAGGGATAACATTTTAATGGGGGTGTAAAATGTAAATGGACCGTCCAGCTGGGCAAACATCAGTGTTGGATTTCCTGTGGAAGTGCTGACTCTTCAGACAGTGCTACATTTTCTTTTCTTTTTTTCTTTTTTCTTTCTTCGAACCTCACCTTTCACACAGGAAAACCAATGGCTCAGCACTCAATATTAAATACTCAATTCATTACAATCTAAGAAGTGTTCAGTGCCATAAAGCTAAGTTTAGCAAAGCATTGAGTGAATAACTGGAGAAAAAAAAAACCCAGTCGGATGTCAAACATAAAAGGAAACTTCAGCAGCTTTTAACGATGTTTGTGCCATCCATTCATATGCTTTTTTCCCCCTTAGCTCTTATTAACCAGGACTAAAGAAACATTTTCCTTCTGAGTGCATTTAAAGAATGAGGCTTCTCTAAACATTTAGTTTTATAGCCCATGAATTAAGTTGTGTAATCACTTCATTTCAGCTGAGTTTCCCTTTGGCTTCTTGGATTTGTATGTACGGGCACTTAAAAAGAGAACCAGTCAGCATGTTTGCATTCTGCTGAAGTTGTAGTTAGCCTGTCAAAGATTACAAAGCTTTAAAGTATGTGCTTTGTAAGAAGTAGCTGGGCTCCCTGTCATGTGACCGTCGGCTGATTAGTGTGACGAAGGCACTTGTGCCCTATTCATAAAGTCCTGGATTTTCTTAATCTATTTTATGTAGGTCCTTTTCTTTTTGACTGTTTCCACAGTATTGATTTATTCCTCTTGACCTTTTTAGAGGAAGAGTTATTTTGAACAGTTCATAATATGTTTCTGCTGGAAGTTCTGGTTTCTTTTGGGGTAGTTCTACACATCCCAAACACATACATTTGTTCCTTTGCCTTCTTAAAGCCACACTTACTTATATTTTCATATATATATTTTCATCATTGTATTCATTAAAAAAACATAAGTCCCCCCTATAGCCATCAGTCAAATCCTCACTTTGTTCCTCTGTCTGACGTGTGTGTTTGTCATTTCTTTACTCCCAGCTGCCTTCCTCACACAGACATTATGTTTGGATGATACAACAGTCAAGTTTGAGATCTGGGACACCGCAGGACAGGAGCGCTATCACAGTTTGGCACCCATGTACTACAGAGGAGCCCAGGCTGCCATCGTGGTCTTTGACATCACCAACACAGTAAGTTACACGAACTTCAACAGGAGATCAGCCAAGACGGGCAGAAGGCTGATGTCATCTGTTTGCTAACTGGGTTCTTCCAGCCAGGGTTGAAGATTGCTTAATCCAAAAAGCAGACCTTTGCTCTTTTTTTATACTTAAAAGTTACATCAGTGATTTTAAAGTTCAACAGTGGCATCTTGTTATAACAAACATGGTTCTTTTATGTTTTAAGGACACATTCACACGTGCAAAGAACTGGGTGAAGGAGCTCCAGCGACAAGCTAGCCCCAATATTGTCATTGCATTGGCAGGAAACAAAGCAGATCTGTCCAACAAGAGAGCTGTAGACTTCCAGGTAAGAAGTCTAAGGAGCCAGAGCTCTTTGAAGTTCTTCGTTTTCGATGGAGATATGTCCTTACATTTGTTCTGCATCTGTTTGTTTAGGAAGCTCAAGCATATGCAGATGACAACAGTTTGCTCTTCATGGAAACTTCAGCCAAGACTGCAATGCACGTCAATGAGATTTTTATGGCTATCGGTGAGTTCAGTTTTGCTCAGAGTTACAAACATTAGTCCAGTAAGTCACAAGGTGATTTCTCAAGCCTTACTTTAATACCTGGAATAAAATCCTGTATATTTATCTAAAATACTAAGCTATAATGAGGCCATTCCTTTGTCAAAAGACTCCTGTTACATGTAGCTAAATGGTCTTTATTACTTGTGCACTTCAAAATAGCCAAGAAGCTTCCGAAGAACTCGCCTCAGGGCGCAGCGGGCGCTGGCGGACGATCCGGAGGCGGCGTTGACCTGCAGGAAGCTGCGCCACAGGGCAGGAGTGGCCAATGTTGTGGCGGAGGGAACTAGCTCATCCATCAGCAGACACATCTAATTCTACAGCTTCGATCAACCCGAGAAGATATTAGCCAGCCGTCAAAAGCATCCCATTGGTCAAACCAAACCACGGTCAGACCAACTACCCTATCGGCACCAATTAACTGTATGGAAAGTGAGTCCACTGGCCAGTAAACTGCCAGACCCCACTGATGGTTCCAGCTGATGAGCCAATCAACAGACTCATCAGCTGCCACGAACTCTCTTTTGATGATTGACACTTGACATCAACTTTGAGGGGAAAACACCCACCCCATCCGTGGAAGGAAAAAAAAAAGATCAGTCATTACCAATGGCACGTAATGGAGCCATTTTGTTCACTTTACTGTGTTTGTGTAGAGGAAAATAAACGAATAGAGGAGTATAAACAGGCTCGTTGGCTCTGTCCATTCTCTGCCACCCCTCGCATTCCCAGTGCACGGTCAAAGTTTCCATCATGGTCTTTTGACACTGTTAAATTGAGGCACATGCAGCATCCTTCACTTTGTCTTGTTCCAAGTAGACTCCCTGGATAAGACGAAAAGGTTTCCATCAGAAGAGCAGGAATGAACATCTTTGTCTATGTAGAGCTGTGTAGATCGATGATTTCATTAATATTATACATTTTTGACACGGACTGGTCAGTATGATTTTAAAGCCTAGACTTGAAAGGTTTTACAATCACCCATATGATATCAACCATATACAGTAAATAATACTTTACTAACATTGTCGCTCATGTAATTTTAGCATTAATGTCATGTTTTTGAATCAACATAAAATGGCAAATGCATAAAGCAAGATTTATTTTATTGACCAAAATCACAACTGTGTTGAAAACATATCGATGAGTTTGTAACAGACTTTTCAAGTTTCTAATCGCTGTAGTTATTGTCAAAACAATATGTTCCCGATCTGTACATGTTTTGGCAACCTTAATTATGTCATGATGTTTATTTTCTTTTTTGTCTTTTCTTTTTCCCTTTGTCCTCTGGAGATTTATGGTATTAAATGCACTGGTTCTGTCTCATCATCTTTGTGAATGGAGATGTTATCCCCGGCCTCATTTCCTCCTTTTCAGTCTAATTTTTTTTTTTCCGTTCAGGGAGTTACTGGCTTTGAGCAGTCCTGTTATGGCATCAACAATCAGCACAACAGAACCTGCTGTTAGGGTGGAGGAGTAGGGAGGGCATGGTCGTGGGTTAAGCAGAAAGGATGAAAATGTAATTTTCTAAATAAATAAGGGAAATTTATCTCTATTTCTTTCGTATGATTGTATTAATCATTCCATCATATCTAAATGGATCATTCCTTTTCTCAAGACAATTTATTCCTCAGTTAATGTCGCTGATTGACACCCTTCAAAATCCACCATGAAAATCATTACTCAAACAAACTTTAGAAACAAGCAGTGTATGATTCTTTAAACAATATCTAAATATAATATGAATAAATGTTTTCTTGTAATTCAGTTAAAATGTAAACATGATCCAAATAAATATTTGTCGAAGAGCTTCACTACCCATAAACCATCACAGATGATGTATCATATAATTTAGGATTTTCCCCATTTAAATCTTATCTTTATTAAATACTTATACACAACAGGCCTTCTTATCATGCTACATAATGATACTACTAACCATCCATCCATCCTTTGTCCACTGCTTATCATATTTTTTTCTTTATGTCCTTAAATTACTTGAAAATGAATAACTTTTGAGAATTTTGAGATTTATTTTGAGTAAGTTAAACCTTTGACGACAATAATGCTGCAGTTCCCCTTCAGACCCACGACAGGGCGGTGAAGGCTCGTGATTTCGACACACGCAACTTCCTTCTGAAACCATGGAAACCGTTACCTCAGCTTAGCAGATCAATCCTGCTAGAGGCGTTATATTAGGCATATTGGAGCAAATCATTTCAAAAGTAAAGCAACCTGCTTCTGGCATAACATTTCAAACGTGGTTTTGTGTTTGTTTTAACGCGTATACTTCTTGCCTGTCTCAAACGGTACGGGTAAGTCTTGAGTCCGATTTTCCTGACAGCACTTGAAAGCAGCAAATGAGCTAAACGGCAGCGGAGGAAGTCGGGAGAGAAGCAGCAGCGTGGATATGTCCGACCCGGCGGCTCAGGCCTTGCAACCCCGGCATCTCCAAGCCCAGTCGACGGGGTCTGCGGGGTCCGGTTCTGCTGCGACAGGCTCCGGGCCAGGAAATAGCGATCCGGCCAGACCAGGACTTAGTCAGCAACAACGTGCAAGCCAAAAGAAAGCTCAAGTCCGAGCTTTCCCACGAGCGAAAAAGCTCGAGAAACTTGGCGTATTCTCTGCGTGCAAGGTAGCTAATATAGCTAGCCAAAGTTCACAACAACAAAACACTCCTCCACTTGTTTTAGCCTTAGTATTTGTTATTACGAAGACGGACTAGGCTCTCGTAACCTAAAACACCAAGCTTTTTAGCTAGCTATCTCGACTAATACTTGAATTGGTCACTATTGTGTTAAGAGGCACCTTTCATTAGCTAGCTTACTCGAGTGGTCATTCATTTACACATAAATCCGCAGGGGCGCGTCTGTTTTTATGCATTGTCGTGCTTATTTTATAGGCCAACGACACGTGTAAGTGCAATGGATGGAAAAACCCGAATCCACCATCAGCCACTCGTATGGACATGCAGCAGCAAGCAGCCAGCCTGAGCGAGTCCTGCCGCAGCTGTGGACATGCCCTGGGTACTAACTAACCGCCTCCCCACGCACTCCAGTCCACACCAGCCTTTGCTCCAGATCAAAACCAATATGTAAAGCAAAGGGGATTGTGCAACACTTAAGACCAGTTATCTGCATGCTGTAATAAAAAAGCATGAATCTGTAAAGAAAGGCTTGTTTTGATAGGATGTAAAGCAGTTTGCAAGTATCTGTACAATCTTGATCAATTTTAAAGTCCACAAAGGGCCACCCTATGACTTCCAGAATTTATTTCCCCCCAGTTTTGTTACTTGAATAATTTGGGATCTGAGCTCTTAAAAGATTATATATATCCTATACAATATATATATTGATATATTTCTGTTTAGATTCTGGCATCTTTGAATCGTTTGGATATTTCCCCAGAAACCATATCTCTGAGTTTTCTATAAATAGCTCTGCAACCTCCTTAATGATGCTCGAATTTAGTGAAGCACAGATGAGAAACATTTAAATTTACAACCTGAGGAAGCTACATTCTATATACATTTTTTAATTAAGATTTTGATAGAATAGCAAAGCACTAAAAATTAGATTTATTTAGTTGCTTTGTATTGCATGTAGAATGTAAAAAAAACCTCATCTGAACAGAGTTGAAGATGAATGGTTTGGATTAAATCAAATGTGGAAACCATAGTGATTTGTTTACGTTGAATTTTCCTTTTACTTCTCATTTACAGCTGATCATGTGTCCCATCTTGAGAATGTGTCGGAGGATGAGATCAACAGGCTTTTGGGGATGGTGGTGGATGTGGAGAACCTCTTTATGTCTGTGCACAAAGAGGAAGACACAGATACTAAACAAGTGTACTTCTACCTTTTCAAGGTAGGCCAAAGTTTTGTCTTAGTACTCACAGAGAGCATGTTTATAGCTTATTTATTATCTCTGTTTGAACATCTCTGTTTAACAATCCTGAAAAAAGTGTTTTATCCTGTTCCACACTTGTCTCCTTTTCTGTTAGCTGCTGAGAAAATGCATCTTGCAAATGAGCCAGCCGGTTGTGGAGGGTTCTCTCGGAAGTCCGCCTTTTGAAAAGCCCAACATTGAGCAGGTGAGCGTGGAAACGATGAGCTTGGCGGCACAGCGTTGAATTCATGGTCACTTCACGGTCACTTCTCCTCGTCTCTCTGTTGCTCTGCAGGGGGTTCTGAATTTTGTTCAGTACAAGTTCAGCCACCTGGCGCCAAAGGAGAGGCAGACCATGTTTGAGCTGTCCAAGATGTTCCTTTTATGTCTGAATTACTGGAAGCTGGAGACGCCGACGCAGTACCGCCAGCGTACCCAGAAGGATGACGGGACGGCATACAAAGTGGACTACACCAGGTGCGTGCGGCCGCTGTGAAATGAAGCAGGCGGCGGGGCGGATCTTGAGCGCGTCTTTGCTAAGCGGGTGTTTGGGTGGTGTGACCGGCAGGTGGCTGTGCTACTGCCACGTCCCGCAGAGCAACGACAGCCTGCCGCGCTACGAAACGACCCAGGTGTTCGGCCGGAACTTACTGAAGTCAATCTTCACGGTCACCCGACGCCAGCTCCTGGAGAAGTTCCGGGTGGAGAAGGACAAGCTGCTGCCAGAGAAACGCACGCTCATCCTCACACACTTCCCCAAGTAACGCCGCAGCCCCGTGCAATGATGTTCCATGATTCATTCAGAAATGTCAAAACACATTGAAGACTGAAGCGCCGTCTGATTGTTAAGTGTGTGAATGCTTTTTGTCAGGTTCTTGTCCATGCTCGAGGAGGAAATCTATGGCGAAAACTCCCCCATCTGGGAGGCAGACTTCACCATGCCGGCTTCTGACGGCACCCAGCTGGGACACCAGACAGGTGAGGCCGAGGGCCGTCTCCCAGGGCGCTCGCATGTTACCCGAATGTAAAGAGGCGCGATATTTAACAGGTGCGATTTGTCTTTTCAGTCATCAGTCCCACCTCTGTGTCGGGCTCTTCTGCTCTGTCCAAGTGTCTGAGCAGCAGCTCCTCTCTGGGCACCGCGGACGCTGGCAGTGTGGAACCCACCAAAGGTCAGCGGGCGTTTGGCAGCTCTGTTTAATTCCCCTTGTTTTCGTTTTGTTTTGTGCAATGAGCTCTGGCAGTCTAACTTTTAAGTGTGG